TGGGATGCTCCTCCCGGCCCTTTGCTTGTCGTCCTCTTCTCAGTATTCATTTCCCGCTTCAATGTCACCTTCTCATCGAGGCCTGTCTATACTACAGATCCTCCCAGAGCAGAGCCTTTGTCACCTGTGTACCTAGAGTAACGCTGGACATTCATGAGTGCTTGTCTGGCTTACTGTATCAAATTGTTTCCAACCTAGGGGTTGTTGTGATGAGTGACAGTGTCATTTGGAATGGGCCTTGAACACACACAGATGAGTTCATGCCATTAAGGTCTGTCCTCTCAGTTTTGAGGATCTGAACAATCCCTTCAAGCTGTTTCTTTGTGGCCCAACTATTTTATGAAAAGATGTTAGCTGGAGGCGTGCTTGGTGTGGCCTCTGTGCTGGGAACTGGGGCACAGCTGGGAATGTGGCAACGGCTGCATTTGTGGAGTCCCCGCGTTGATGCCACGAGCTGAAGAGTGAACCGACCACCTGGGACTGAGCACATCCAAAATGAAAATGCATTTCCAAAATAAATAAATAGATAAAAATAAAAATGCATTTCCAAATATTGAGATGAACTGTGGGAGCAAATCTTTTTAAAAATCTCTTCAAAATGCTTAAACCAAAAGGAGCCCACAGATGCCTGACAGCTGCCTTTCTGAAATTCTCATCCTTATATATTGTAATAGACCTCAATAGCTAAAACCTGAATCACATTTTTGACACTACTGAGAGGGAATTATTTAATCTGCCTACTGGAAATGAAGGCATTAAAACCCAATCAGAAGAGTTTGCAGATGTGTCCTTAAATGCTTGCAGCTTCTCAGCTGCTGCTACATGAAACATGTATCCAGAAGCAGGAGCCTTCCTGTTGCCACGATGCTGGATATGGAGTTTGAAACTTCCGGTTTAAATCTTAAACCGGAGCACTTATTAGCTGGATGGTCTTGCTAATCTCATTTGGGTACTGTGCAATCATAGCTGCCCATTCTAGTATTTCAAAAGATAATAGAGAAGACCTGAATTAGAAAATGAATGTCAGTGCTCTCTGTACACAAAACAGCCATAGAGACATGGACAGCATATTAAAAAGCAGACATCACTTTCCCGACAAAGGTCTGTACAGTCAAAGCTATGGTTTTTCCAGTAGTCATGTGTGAGAGTTGGACCACAAAAAAGGCTGAGCGCCGAAGAACTGATGCTTCTGAACTGTGGTGTTCAAGAAGACTCTTGAGAGTCCCTTGGACTGCAAGATCAAAGCAGTCAGTCCAAAAGGAAATCAACCCTCAATATTCATTGGAAAGACTGATGCTGAAGCTGAAGCTCCAATAACTTCAGCCACCTGATGCGAAGAGCTGACTCACAGGAAAAGACCCTGATGTTACAAAAGATTAACAGCAGGGGAAGGGGACAATAGAGGATGAGATGGTTGGATGGCACCACTGACTCAATGGACATGAGTTTGAGCAAGCTCTAGGAGGTGGTAAAGGACAGGGAAGTCTGGCATGCTGCAGTTCATGGGGTCACAAAGAGTCGGACATGACTGAGCAACTGAATCGCAATTGTTGGGTTACCTTTGCTCACTGCTGGATGAACGATAATAACTTGGCAAAAACTAAGAGGATGGAATCTATTAACAGGGGAGCAGTTAAATTATGGCATGCAGTGGAACACGATACAATCATTAAAATAAAAAGGGGTATCTCTCTATATCGACATACAAAGATATCCATGATGCATTAGGAAAAATCCAGTATCTACTATTCTGTGTACTGCCTATGCATAGAGAAACCACCTGGAGGACAATATATCAAACTGTCAGCCAGGGTTTTTCTGGGGGTGGTGGTGGAGTCCTTTAGATTGGTACTAAATCATAAGCGACTTAAGAGATATTCTACTCACCACAGGGAAAAGTGCACACATCACTGATTACCTAGTCCCCGTCTAGATGTTTCCTAGGTCTCAGGCCTGATTTTGTCTAACAGTTACCTTGGAGAATGAACTTGGCTGAACCGCAGAGCTTAGTGTCACGGTGAGTAAACAAGCTCCTTGGAACAGTCTTACATGCCACATTCACAAAATAAAAGGCAAAGCTGAGGTTGTTAGGTGACCTGCAATCTATCCACTACAGTGCCTCTGCTTCAAGGTTAATGGTCAAAACCCTGCTACCTGTAGTCTTATGACACTAGACTTGTTGCCTGAAAACCCACATTTTATTTTCGTAAGGATCACAATGCCAACATACTTAAACATAGTTGGGTGAGAAGTGTAAGATGCCTCCCACTACTTCCCCACGTGGACTTTTCACACAAAGGACTTCACTGCTCTCCACAGGGAGACGGTGGAGGGCAGTCGGTGGTCTGCGTCAAACTCGGAAGGTCATCGTGGCCTTTCTAAGACAGACAGGGCAGCTCTGGTGAAAGCCAGCTGACTGGTTCTCACGCCGCAACGGACCTGAGCAGATTTTCTGTGTGGATGGAGCTGAGATCCATCCATTTTGATTCAGCAGTCAGTGAGGAAAAAAATGCAATTTCTGTAAATACAGAAACTCACTGGGAGATACGGCTTGGACTTAAAGTGGTTCTTTGATTCCTCAACTGTTTAACACTGGCATTTTAAGTGTTTAACAATGGAATACCTGACCACACCTCACAGGATAACTGCCTTGCTTTCACATTTTTTTCAGCACATTCACGTTTCAAAGTCAAATACACTGGCTCTGAAATCAAGCACAATGAGATCAGACATTCTTGTCCTACTAGCACTTCTCACTAGAAGGTAGGGGGCTATGATTTTAAGCAGTTTTTAGAGAATAACCCCCTTTTGATTCTAATAGCAATACATGCTCACTGAAGACAATCTGTACAATGAAGATGAGGAACAATCATCTGCACACAAAATCCTCAACCCACCCCCTTAAAGGCAGCCACCGCCCTCCAATCACCCTGGATTGTATTCCTTTATCCCTCCCCCTGCCCCCATAAAGTCATATACATGTATAGAACTTACTTATACTCAACATTATACTCTTGTTTCCTAATGTAACTAAGCTCTTCAAACATAGTCTTTCTTCTCAAAATATAGGCAATGCTTGCTCTCTATGGAAGGTTTGGAGAACACGGAAAGCAAGAGGAAGCTCCCCACGGTCCCGCCACTGAGAGGCGGTCTTCAGGGGAGCACCTGCCGAGCACTGCGCTCGCTCAGCCCCGCTCTCCGTGACCCGGGGACTGCAGCCCACCAGGCTCCTCTGTCCATGGGGTTCCCCAGGCAGAATACTGGAGTGGGCTGCCGTGCCCTCCTCCAGGGAATCTTCCCGACCTGGGGATTCAATCTGTGTCTCCTGCATCCACTGAGCCACCTGGGAAGCATATCCTCCCAATTTCTTCCCTATCACATATACATTTTCATAAAAGAACTGCATTCCAAGCATATATACTTTCTGCTTTCCCCCCACACGAGACCATAAACACTTTTCATGGTTAAATATTGTAACTGTCCATGACACAGAGATTATCACTTAGCCACTAGTGAGCATTTAGGTTATTTCCAATATTCCTATTATAAATGATGCTGTGGTTAAGTTTGAAATAGCTAACATGAATTTACTACAAAGAAGTACCAATTTTTTCTTACCTCTTTTGAGAAGATATAAATGAGACCTAAGGAAATACTAACCATGAGGGCAGCTTAAGGTAAACCGGGCTTCGTGAAGTTTCTTAAATAAACTCTCAGCTGCCTAGAGGAGATGAAGGTGAACTGTGGTCTATCCACTGAATTTTCTAATTCTGCTTTGCAGTTAAAAGTGTGTGTGGGGGGGTGGGGGTGGCAGTGACTGTTGAAAGCATCCTAGGTTTTCTTTTTAAAAATATGCATTTGTGGCACACGGGATTGGACCAGGGATCGAACCCGCTTCCCCTGCGCTGGGATTGCAGTTTCAGCCACTGAACCCTCAGGAGAGACCCTAGGTTTTTAAGGAAAGTTATCACGTAAACATAAGGTCTTTATTTGTCTCCCTTATGACAATATAAGAGATAAAAACATCAGGTGATACCATCCTTGCCAATCCCCAGCACCAAGAGGTTTGCTGATCTATCTAAATATGCTAGAAACACGTTAAAAAGCATGTTCAGAAGTAACAAGCAGAAATGTAGGCACATTTTTTTTCAAGTATACAATTTGTTTTTATTTACAATACCCTATAAAAATGTAAATTTAGAAACTTTTTAATTAAAACCAAACAAAAAAGATAAAAGCACAGAAGAGAAGAGATAATCATCAAGCCTTCACTTGATCGGCTGTGAAGGGAAGGCAAGGGGTGAGGGCAGACGTGGGCGCGAGGGGCACAGCGGGGAGACGAACACGACAGCCGATTGGTGCAGAGGGCCTCACTGCTGTACATTCATGTGCAAACCTCACCCTCGTATTAAATACCTTAACCTGCCCCCTCCCCCACTACATTCGGAAAGGTGAGAGCAGCAAGGTGCGCTCAGGACAGTCGGGTGAGATCAGTCAGCTGCAGTCTTCCTGGCGCTGGCATCACCAGAGACCTGGGCCCTCACGGGGCGGGGGAAGCGGGAGAGGGTGGCACAGGCCGCCCCGCCGGGCGCAGACCCAGGCCGGAAGAGACCAAGGGGCAAGGGCAGCGCTTCTGCCTGCGCGCGGAGGGGAGGGCCGAGGGCCGGAGCCGGGAGGGGCGGTGGTTCCCCCAGGACACCGAGTAGAGACGGGGAAGGGGGAGTCAGAACATGGCTTACTGCAGCGGCCTCAGGAAGACGAGCAAGGGTGGTGCAGCTGCGCTGAGCAGGCAGGCTCCAGTCGGCCGTCTCCCGCAAGCCTCCGCGCACCTGAAGGCACGGGCTCAAGTACCCGCTGCGGGAGCCGGACAGAGGCTGACCGCGTGCCGTCCCCGCCGCGGTGGCCAGGACCGAAGGAAACCCGAGTGGGGAGGAGACAAGGGCGGCTCAGCTGAGAGCTGGGCACCGGCCAGCCAGGAGTTCTGAGTTTATTACACGTGCTGCATACCCTACATTTTATTAGAACAAGTAGAACCCATCAAATCAATCACAAGATGGATGAGGAACAGATTAAAAACACATCAGCTGGTTTGTGGTTAGAGAAGGGATAGTGTGTCAACTAAATTTCTCAGCCTAAACTCGTTCTTTAAGGACCCTTTGGAGACCACATAAACGTACAAATCTGGGGTGTGTGTGCGCGCATACATATATATTTCTACTTCATCAGCTTTCCTACAGTCATATTAATAAGGGGCGAGGAGGGAAGGAATCCTGTCCTACTCTGAGCTGGAGCAGTGGTGGGGGGATGAAGGGAGAGGTTATGTTTGTGTCTCGAGGGCAAAGAAAAGGCAGGATGGAGAAGAATCTAGTCAACTGGGACATGCAGGACTGTCACACAGAAGGTAAGGAAACCGGCACAAGTATGAACCCAGCCACATTTCACAGAGCAGTGGAGAGTACCTGGCATTCAGAGACAACCCCTGTGAGTGGGACTCGGTCCCACCAGACGCTCTGGGGAGTGAGCTACCTTCCCTCCCTCGTTAAAAGCCACACTCCACTGGAGACGGCAGCTGTGCGGGAGGCAGCCAGAGGCCCAGGACGCGTGTGGCACCTTTACCGAATCCCCTGAGCTAGCCTGTGGCACAGAGAGAGAGAGGAGACCCGCATGGATGAGCTCAGAGAGCAGTCACCTGCCCCAGAACCCCAGCCCGGCGTGACCTCTCCTAACAGAGCACTAAGAGGCCTGGACCCCAGCTCTTATCTCCCTGGGAGGGTTTCTGCTGTGGCCACAGTGCTTTTCATCCAGCAGACATTCGTGTATTTCACAGAAGTCTTTAATCTCTTCCACTGGATTCATGACATCCTACGCCCTCTCACCCCCAACCTCCTCAACGTAACTTCTAAAGTGCCAACTTCAGTGAGATGTGGAATTGTCCTGTTTCCAACTTACTGCAGTTTTGTCTCCAGCAAGTTCAGTTTCTGTCGGTCAACATAACGAGAAAAGAGGGATACTAGGTTTGTGGGTATAGAGATTGGCTTGGCCAGGCCTGTCTGGGGAATCCGCAAAAGTTCTCGGGTTGCCACGAACATCACCTCCGTCCTGACAGGGAAAACCGATAATAATAATAATGTAAGAAAAGGAATACAAAAGAGGACCTGAAAGAACTACAAAAAAGAAACACAGCCCAGACTGACCACGGGTTGCTTTGCGCCGATTCTGAAGCAGGGTCTGAGCTCTGTAGGTCTTCCCCGCGGCTCAGGACGACGAGGAGCAGTGACAGGCCAAACTGTGAGGAGACAGAGGGCGTCAGACACCACTGTGCTGGCGCCGCACCACAGCCGGGCCAGGCTGTCGAGGGGAGGCGCTGAATGCAGGAACCCCCCCCCCCAGAGACCACTACGCCAGCGCCACACCACAGCCGGGCCAGCAGGCCGACGAGAGGAACCGAAGAAAGCAACAACCCCCCCCCGAAGAGACCACTGCGCCAGCGCCACACCACAGCCGGGCCAGGCGGTCGAGGGGAGGCGCTGAATGCAGGCCCCCGCGCCATGCTGCTCTGAGCCACGCAGAGCCCAGAGGCGTGCCCTCCTGACCCATCAGCTCAGGCCCTCTCAAGGGCAACAGGAGCCCCTGGCTCCCCCGTCCCACCCTTCGACTACAAGCGGACTCTTCCCTGCCCCAAGATAAGGGGGTGGGGGAGGTTAGCTTTTCTCCCACAACATGTAGAAGGGAAAGTCACAATGAAGACAAATTTTGAAACAGAAAATTAAAGTTTATAGAACAAAAAAAATACAAATAAAAAATAGAGTTTGAATTAAGAAAACAGGTGTTAAAGCCCTGTGAGAAAATATACAAAGAAAAGGAATGATCAGGCTGTGAAGAAAACATTTCCTTAAAAAATGACATACATATCTATAAAGGCTTAGAGGATGTTAATGAGAGTTTAAAAGATAAAAAGAGAGGATAAACAGATTCATCCACCATATCTAGGACTGTTGAAATTTAGCAACATGCTCTAGAGAGAGATATAAATATTTATTTTACTACGTGGGCAGTAACAGCAGAAATCATGGACTCTAAAGGGGCACAAACATGAACAAGACCGAGTATAAACACGTGAATCATGGCTATCATCAACCATGAAAAGAAGCTGGGCAGATTCTGGGATTCCATCCTCCCCTCTCTGAGTTCACCTCACCAAGGATAACCTCACCTTTCCACAAAGTTCCCTTCATGTCACTGTCAGAAAAACAACGGGTTACATAATCTCGTCTGACTTCAGGCTTTTTGACTGCCTTTATCAAAATTAAAGCTAAGAGACCAAATAATGTGGAAGGCACATAACTTGAGGGCCCCTGTCTTACATCCCAAGGCACCATCACCCTCTCAGTCTCTGAGGTGCTCACGGCCCTTCGAGCCAGGCTCTCCAGGTTTGCAGGTGCCAGAAGAAAATCCTTGGGTCTCCTTTTCCCTTCACTGTACCAGATGGTCCCGAGTGAGCGCCACTGTGTACCCAGCATTAAACTGCATCATTCACAGCTGCCTGCTCATCTAAGCGACGCTGACATCACCTCCACTTTACAGATCAGGAAACCGGGGCTCAGCAAAGCGAAATGATCTGTTCATGGTCACAAACCTAGGACGCGGCCAACGAGGAGTGGAAACCTGTTCTAAAAGCTCACACTCTCCTTCTGTATTTACACTTCCCCTGGGAGTCTCTGGACCTTTAATCTGATATAAACAAAATATGAACTGGGATGTCTTGTGACAGAGACCACTAATTACCTACGTAATCCTCTTTCCTCCTACTAGATCTGACTTCACCCGTAGTGACAATGGCGTGAACTCAGAGATGTTCCAGCTTTCCCTGCACTTGGGTGTGGTATGTGACAGAGCGCTGGCCGTTGAGATTAAGTAGAAGTTGGTGGTTACAGCTCTGGGAAGAGGTCCCAGTGAGGAGGCCAGCTCCCCCACACCCTTCAGCCCTCTAAACCCACCTCTCCTCTTGATGCAGAGCGGAGCCCTGCATCCATACCCACCGTGGACCTGAGAGGATGCAAGCGTGGCAGCCGCTGCTGGGACGGCACAGCGGGGACCGGAGGAGTCTGCACCCCGAAAGAAGCAGGTTTTCTCCTTGTGAGGTACAGAGCACCCTGTCCTGTGAAAATCACTATCATCTCCAGCTTCTGTCACCACAAGCTAAATGCACTCCCGGCTGAAGGTTACAGCTCCACCCCTCACCTTCCTCTGTCCCCCGACGGCCACGGCGCTTCCTTCCCCCGTGACTCAGGCTGCGGGGGCCCGCGGGCTCAGGGCTCACCTTGCTCTGGAGCACAGTAGAGAGGTGCGGGTTGGACGGAGCCGGGGCCGCTGTGCCCTGAGGTAGGCTCATCAGCTGCTGCAGGAGGCTGGCGACAGTCACTGGTGGAAGATGGTAGAGGAGGAGAGAGAAGGGACTCAATAGGCATGGCAGCACCTATGGAAAACAGAACGGACAGGCTGTCACAGTCTGCTACCATACTTCAGCCTCACCGGCGAGTGGGCAGGGATGGGGGGGAGCTCACTGCCCCAGGCAAGCTGCAAGAGAGGACCTGACAAGCTGAGATGCTGTCAGCATCTCAGCAGCAGATTCCACGGGAACTGCTGAGGATTTTCCCACTCGCACAGAACAGCGTTACCTGTGTGAACCAAGGGTGCAAAATCACTTCTCAAACACATAGCAAGATACATGATAAAACATCGGTATTCATTCTGCAAATACTCAGATGCCCACCACGTATCAGGCACTGTGGGCTAAAAACATGGTAAACAGCACACACCCTCAGGGCTCTAAACAGAGAAGCCGAGTAAACCAGCGACTTTAATACCGAGAGGCACTCTAGCACAGGTGAATTCTGAGAGTTAGACTTACTGAGAAGTTTTTTCAGACTTAACTGTATCTTGATTTATCTTTATAAAAGCTCAATGAGGAAATGGAGAATGATCAACCAATGTTTATAGATCAGAGAAGCAAGTGATCAGAAACTCAGACTTTGGTTACAAAGCTAGTAGCTAGAACCAGAATTCAAGGCTGTTGGATACCAGCCTGCTAGTTCACTCATTCTGCTTTGCCATAAGGCCCAGACTGGGAAATTAAAATACAGAGCTACTGGTGTAACTAGGTTATGATGCTTGAAAGGAAATTGAGGGTGCTTCCAGCACTCAATGACCACAGCATAAAAAATGATGGCTGGTTCTACTTTAAGTAGCATTCAAGGATAGAGAAGACTCCTTATCATGATCAACTATTCTAAATAAACAGAGCTTTAAAAATTAAAGCATTCTTGTGTGCGTGCTAAGTCACTTCAGTTGTGTCCAACTCTGTGCGACCTATGGACTGTAGTCTGCCAGGCCCCTCTGTCTATGGGATTCTCCAGGCAAGAATCCTGGAGTGGGCTGCCATCCTTGCCTCCAGGGGATATTTCCGACCCAGGGACTGCATCCATGTATCTTCCATCTCCTGCACTGGCAGGTGAGGTCTTTACAAGTTCCACCTGGCAAGCCCAAAGCATTTTTAAACATATACAAAAGTACAAACAACAGTACAGTGAAGTCCACGTACCCACAACCCAACTTCAACAATTCAATCAATAACAGGCTGCCAACCTCATTAAATCTATGTTCTTCCCATATCACATCATCTTTTTCATAAACAGCAATACTTCAATTCTCTCACAGTACTACTGTAACTGTGGAAGTTTAACTCCTTAATTATCATCTAATATCCATCTCCAAACTCAAATTCGTCCGACTGTCTCAAAAATGTCTAGGAGCTGATTTGTTCTAATGATGATTCAAATCAGACCCACACGCTGCATGTGGCTTTAAGGCTTTTAGAATCTGTTAATAGGTCCTCCGTCACTTGCCCATCTCCTTTTCTCAAGCCATTTATTTGAAAAAATTGGGTCATTTGTCCCATAGTTTGAATCTGGCTAATGGCACCTGTGGTGTCACTTAACAATGACCTGATCTTCAGTCTTTCCCCGATAAAAACTGGTAATTAGGATCAGAGGTTTGACTGAACTCCAGTTCAGCAGAGGGGGCAGGGTGGTGCGCAGCATGGACACCCCATGGAGAGCCGAGAGCTCCATGCGTGGCATCAGGAAGCGCGCAGTCACGCTACTCCCCTCCCTGGGGCTGATGGTCACCTGTGGGCTCGGTGTTGCCAGCCTGCCCCGACCAAAGAAGTGAGAAAAGCCCCACTCATCTCTAACCTCACGCTTTCAGCTCCAGGAATGGCTGCTGCCCAGATGGACTGTTTTTTCCATTAGGAGCTGTAAAAGGGCAATTTTCTTGTTTCTTTGGAATTTATTAGCTGAAATTCTTTCATAAAGAACTTCCTAATGTCAACACTCTAGTCACCTTGACATTTGGCTGTAATGTGGCAGGTAAGTGTAATACTTACCACTTTTCAGAATAATGAGTTGATGGCCGAGCAATCTCTCAAAGTGTTTAGTACATTTTTTTCATATCATTATGAACTCATTAAACATATCTGATCTACATCAATCCACTGGTATTAATTTTTGTTTCTGACACAAATTATCCCATTGTGACCGAAAGGAGGTTCCTTCAAGTTGGTCTGTGCATCTTTTACACAGAACCATACTAATCTTTCAGCTTTCTTGGTTTCTGACACGATACTCCGTAATTATCTTGTACGTTTTATGCCTCAGACCTGGAACCTGCTATTACTTCAAACAAACAGTATTTAGAGATGTGGTCTATTACTCTTTAACACATACAGGTAAAGTCTTAGCCTCTATATTCAACCAAGTTTTCCTCACTAGCAGGTAAGCTCCACTACAGCAGGCCTCTCGGGGTTCCTAACTCCTAGCACCAAGAACTAGGCGCTAAACTTATAGGTCCTAATCAGTGCCTGGTACATAGAAGTGCTTAGTAGGTATTTGCTGAGTGAAGAAATTCTCTCAATTCTATTATTTCAGAAAAGTAATGTTCATGTCTTTTGGGTTCACTCTCAAATTCTATTATTCTGAATCTCATACTAGCCCTTTGTGCTAACTGTATCAATTTCTTGCTTTGGACTACTAATACTATTTCGAATTTCGCTCATCTTTCAAGCACTGTGATAGGAATAAGCAGAGGGCAGTTCTTACAAACTTGATCATCATACTTCAAATTCTGGCCCATGGCTTCCCCAGTGGCTCAGCAGTAAAGAATCTGCCTGCCAATTTAGGAGACATGGGTTTGATCCCTGGTATGGGAGGATCCCACATGCCTTGGAGTAACTATGCCGGTGTACCCCAACTACTAAAGCCCACACACCCGAGAGCCTGTGCTCCGCAACCAGAGAAGCCCGAGCACCGTAACCAGAGCGGCCCTGCTTGCCGCCACTCGAGGAACGCCCATGCAGCGACAAAGACCCAGCACAGTCAAAAATAAATAAAATTTAAAACACCACTACTAATAATAAAGAAAATAAAACCCACAAATTCTAGCCCAGTTTAAACTGTTTAAAAGCACTGGCCCAATTCCTGTGGGACACCATTCAAGTAAGTCTACAGGTCAGTGTTAAGCCACTAATAACAGCCCATGAATGATGCTTTATATCCAGCAAGGTAACCAAGATCATAAACTGCAAATAATGAGTGGTCAGACCCAGCTGGGGGCCTGATCTCTCTGTAAATACCGATTCAGCAAGTCAGATAAGGCTAAACTATTTGCTTCCAAAGCAGTTCTGATACAGATCACAGCTTAACAACTGTGTCAGATAAGATGGAATTACTGCTTCCTCACATTTAGGAACATGGTCTGTTGGATAAAGATGTGGCATTAAAAATACAAAGGAGTAAAGTTTTTGCTTTAAATACTCAAATCATTGAGCCAAAGATTAGGTAAAAGAACACAAAAGGGAAAAGGAGGAAAATAAGAAGTCTGGCTTCTAGAAATCTTATCCACTGTGAAGACCCAAAGAAAAGAGGACCCCCACGTGGCAGGTCACCTCATCCTGTGCATCCTTCTTGATGAGGAAAGGGAGGTTCCTGGCTGTTGTCATGAGAATGTCAGCTGCTTGCTCTGTGGAGAGGAAAGGCAGAATCCGGGCCACCATTCTCTTCCCCTTTCGGATACACATGATCTGTACAAAGTGGTCATCACTTGGCCTGCGGGGGACAACTTAAGTCAGCAAGAACAATGTAAAAACCCACTTTCTCCTCTCACATGTTACTAGATGAACACATTGCATTCATTTTCTCTCTGCAGTGATCTGTACTACAAAACAGTGAGAATTACTTTACTCTCAACCAAATAATAAAAAGTAAATTCTTCGAGTTTCATGAATACTGAAAATCATTTCAACACTTGTACATTAAAAAAACTAATCAAACTATAGGCATTGATTTCCTTTATTAACTTTCAAGTAACTACACAAATGACATGGTTAAAACAAAATCTGAAAATATATATAAAAAATAATATTCATAATCTCAGAGATAATGTACTAGTGTTATCATTTTGAAGACATTTCTGTTGTGTATATTTTTATCTTTCATTTTTTAAAAAGGGGGGGAACCCATATAATTTATATGGCTTGTTACTTGTTTTTTTAACTCAACTTATGAACACTTTTCCATGGCAATAAATAATATTTTACACAGATTTTACTGGCTGCATAACAGTCCAATCTATGGAGAAACCCAGATTTATTGACCAAGCTCCCTGTCAGTCCAACCCTGAAAAGATGTGCTAAAAAGAAGGTCCTTTGCAAAAAGTTTTGTTTTGCGTATGTCCTGGCTTAAAAGAATCATCAGTTCTCTTGAATGGACAAAGACAAAGGGAGCGTCCTCTTGCATTCATCAAATAAATATTGTGATTTATAGAACATTTACCATTGGCAAGACTGTATTCCAGATACTGGGTGGGAGAGAGATGACAAAAAGACAGAGAAATTACACTAAGGAGCTTAGTCTCTACTAGAAGACTGATCGGCTTCCATAGCAAATAAGAACTGTATGGTAATCCCAAGAAGGTATGAATGTTTACACTTTCCATCTTAGTAGGAAAGAAAATACATAAAGATTACACGGTTGAACATTAGTAAGCATAAACTAGATACAATCTGTAAGCTCAACAAAAGAAACTAAATAATGTTTCCCACTGTCTCCAGTGTCCAGCATCGTTCCTAATAGATACTGAAAAGGTACTTGCTAAATAAATGAATTTGAGATACATAGATTCCCACCCCCCCCCACCCCCCCGCCAGCTCAAAAGGATTCTAAAATGTTTTATATGGGGTGGCATTTGAGTTAGGCCAAAGGGCAAGACTCTGAGCTTACTGCAATGGTAAGGAAGGGTAAGGGCAGAATGTATAAAGCTCAAAGGAATCTAGCGAGACTAATGTTTTTACCAAAAGACACAATTCTTACCTCTCCTGTCCAGGCAATTTCCCCCTTAAGTTGTCATACATGCAACAAATTTTGTGCTTTCTTTCATCCATCAGGGCAGGTCGCTCGTCTTCCAGACTTAGGAGGTAACGCCTTTCATAATCTTCCACATCAAGCAGTAAACTGTAGGTCTAAGTGAGACACACAGCAGGCCTCAGCAACTCGGAGCATTAGGTAAACAACTTCGAAGTTTAGGATGACCAGGTAACAACACAAGAGTGAGAGCCCACAGAAATAAGAATCGGAGGGGAAAAACTTGCTCTTTTAAACCCAGAGAAACATAGTGAAACAACTTAAAAAAAAAAAAAATTCTTTGGGTAGATTCCCTGTCCCTTCTTGAGCACTTTCCAAACTTTCCAGCAGCAGCGGCAGCGTGAGTGCTGTCAACGACGGGAACCACGGCACCCAAGACGCCCTCTGTCTGTAAAAGCGGTGACAGCTAGCTTGACTACAGGGTCCCAGGCCCTGTCCAAGCACTGTGCAAATACTCACTCACGGGATACTCACCACAGCCTAGTGAGAAACAGACTCTTACCACTTTCATTTTTAAAGGTAAAGAAACCAAGGACAGCACAGAAATGTTAAATAACCTGCCTCAAGTCACAGACTTGGTGAGAAATGACTAAGACATGATTTGGAGCCTGTTCTCAGAGACTGTGCTCTTAACTCCTATACTCATGCCCCAAAACATGGTGTTTTATGCTTCAACACTAACTGCCTACTACTGATTTTCCTTAGAACCCAGGACAGTGCCCAGCACTCAGGGAATGGTCAAAAAATATACACGAACTGACTGAACAGACAATCAATTCACAGGCAGAAAGTGTAATTTTTCTTTTCGTTTTCTTAGAAAGATGCTCTGCCCTAAAACACTGAGCCGTTAACTGAACAAGCTTGGACAAAACCCCAGGACTTTGAATTGGAACTGCAGTGCCTTCTCCATGAGGCCATAGGTGAGGTAAGCCACATTCCTTTCCAGCATGCGCTGTACACAACAGGCACTTTACACAGACATGTACATTAATTAAAACCACAGGACACTAACTGATTGCTTACTTTCCCACGTGCTGCGTACACATACATTTCACAGTTTGCTTAACTGAAACTAACTACAGCAACTTTAGCAATGCTAAAACTTACTTTCTCAATTATGAAAAGGGTTTTTCGTCTTTTGTCCCGAACCTGTTTTTCTTTTGTCTCCTAAAAAAAGACAAGACTTTTTAATATGAACTCTTTAACCATGTTAAGAATAATTTACTGCTGGTAAATTCTATAGGTAATTCTATTTGTGACAGTACTGTGAGGATTAATAACCAAACAAAAGTAACGTGGACAAAGGTCACAGAGTTGACTGAATAAACCCACACATAAACTATTAACTAAATTCATAGCTAAGCAAAAGGTATTGGAGAATGCAATGGAAACTGAAGATATCATTGGAAAATCTTAAACACATAGAAAATGATAGTTTTAAAAAACTGGAATAAACAGCTAACGCTGCTTGTAGCCAGGGTTACCCAGTTCAAAGGCTCCTGCCACCCCAGGTCCTGCCTGGCTGCCTTAGAATTTCAACCCAGGGACCCTTGAAGAAGCAGTGCTGACCCAGACTTCCTTAAACACACAGTTCTGTGGCTACTTACATCATCCTCACTCCGAGATGTCACAACAGCATCAATCATTTTTCGGGGATTATTCACACTAGAGACAGTGAGCTTTCCCAAAGAGCCCTCAAACTGCACTGCAAGGACAAAAAGTTGCCAACAAGTAAAAACCCAGCAGCGCAGGCAGACAGCATTCAAAGACCACTGCAGTCTCTCTCTTCTGGCCCCACTGCGTGGCCAGATGTTTCAGTCGCTGAGTCGTGTCTGACTCTTTATGACGCCATGGACTGCAGCCCGCCAGGCTCCTCTGTCCGTGTGATTTCCCAGGCAAGAATACCGAAGCAGGCTGCCATTCCTTCTCCAGGGGATCTTCCTGACCCAGGGACTGAGCCCGCATCTCCTCTGTCCCTTGCACTAGTAGATGGTTCTCTACTACTGAGCCCCCAGGGAAGCCCCACTGTGTTGCATGTGGGGATTTTAGTTCCCCTCACCAGGGGTGGAACTCAAGCCCCCTGCAGTGGAAGCACAGAGTCGTAACCACTAGACTGCCAGCGAGGTCCTATGTTCTCTAGTCTTTACTCAGGACCTAAAAATTTACTATAAAAATCAATGTATTATCTAAGGCAATCTCTTATCAAAATCTATCCTTTCCCATTTTTTGTTTTTTGGTTGTAATAATAAAAAGTCTGAAATATCTTCCCCTTATCTATGTTAGGGATACTAGAAATTATAACATTTTAAAAAGTCATGGAATCTCAAGCAGAAATGGACTTAAAGGGCCATCTGTCAAGCTACTCACTCCGTACTTGAATACGGCGGACCTCTGCATCTGTCAAGGACAACGGTACCTTGCACATCAGTTTCAAACCTCTCCACCCCATCATCTGCTATTCTACCAGCAGCACAGTGCATCTGTCCGTTGTGGGTGTGGGGACAGGGACCTCACCTGGCTTGTAGGTGTGCTCCAGCTTGGCCACCTGAGGCGTGATGAGCTTGGTACGCTCCTTTTTCGGGCCATCACCTTGCACTTCTTCAGCAGCTGACAGTTTCTCCAGTTTTTCAAAGTAATTCTACCACGTGAGAAGATGATTTCAGTTGCAGCAAGCACAGAACGTGGCTGCTCTTCACCCCGAGACGATCTATGCCAGTGGCAGCAAGGCTACTCGTGCTCTATAAACGTATTCGTGCTTAACTTTTCTTAGATTGCCAAGAATTTACTTTATCAAAAAATCCCAGCCTTCAAAATTACCATCAATGAAAACATCATTAGACTGCCAAAATTCTTAATTTAACAACCACATTATTGATGCCAAAAAGATTTGAAAATATTGGTTTGAGAGTTTCTACAGTTTAGAAATAAAAGGCATATATGAAACCTCTCAGTGAATATTGTGATTCTTCAGCTTGAAAACCGGGACAGAATTCTGACTCACTTGAAGACTACCTCAGAAAGAAATTCCCCCAACATTTAAATGGGCACCTTCACCAGGGTAAGCGACTAAACCTACCCTTCCGACGGCACAGAGGACACACCTGGTAATAGAAGTCATCCAGGTAGGGGTCAGTGCTCTGCAGCTGCATCATCTGGATTTTGGAGACCCAGTCTTTTTCTCGCTGCAGCATGAGGTTGGCATACGGATCCTTTCGGATATGATCCTGATGACTGCTCCGGTGACCCCCTCTGTCTCCTGCACCGTTGAGATTCCGATGCTGACTGGAAAAGAAATAAGGCCACATGCACTCCAAGTGGATACATGAATTACGTCTTGTAACAATACTGGAGTAAAACAGGCCAACTTAAAAAAAAAAAAGATTCCCCTTTGCTTTTATTAAAAGAGGAGTGAAAAAGAATAGAATCTTAACAGAATTTGAGAGCAAAGAGCTATGCAATACATAATCAGAGGACTAGACTATGATCTGAGCGCCTTACCATTAGCTAAGCACTTTCACCTGTAGACTTGTGTGTAAGCCCCACAATAACCCTATGAGGTTCGTACGTTTATTTTCCCCACTTAAGACAATAAACTGAGCTCAGAAGAGATCAGGCAACTTGCCCAAAGCAGCACACCTGGCAGCAGTGAGGTCTGACCACAGGCCAACTTGACGCCACGTCTACATACTTCTCAAAACATGTCGAAAATTATGATATACTTTAAACAGCAAAGTCCAGCAAACCTTATCCAAAAATCCATTTATTCACAATTTGGACTTAATGAAAAAATTATTGGGTCAAATTTGCTTCAGATTTTTAAAAAGTAATATTAAAGTAATAATACAGTGCTATGTTTACAGTTGAAGGCCCACCTACAGCCCTTGAGATCACAGTTTCCAGCTTCCCTTCCTTCCTGTAGGAACCAGTATCCTGACTTTGATACATACCCTTCATGAAATATTTTTATACTTTTATTACTTGTACATCTACCTTTAAATATTATACAGTAGTATTCCATTTTATATAAATGGTCTTAGGCAAAAAATTCTGCTCCTTGATTCTTATTCAATATTATGTGTTTCATACTTGTCCACACTGATAATATACGCAGGTATATTCTGAGAAGTAAAACTGCTAGGATTCAATGTATCTACATTATCAACATTATTGTTTATTGCCAAATTCTCTCTCCAAAGGCTATATATACTCCATTCCTGCTAACAACGACAGTGTTGAGACACTTCATGCTTTGCTGAGGATATAAAATGGTTATCTAATTTCAATCTGCACTCTTCTGATTATAAGTAAGCCTAAAAATCTTTTCGTTTTTATGAAACATGTAGGTTTCCTCTATTGAAAAACTGCACACTTGTGTTTGATGCCTTTTGTTATATGGAAGTTTAATATATTTTTACAATTTCATTAAAAATATCTGTAAACACCTTTATTCAGTGATAACTGCTGCACAAAGAACCGTACAATTTAATGTATACCAACTGGTAAGTCTGGACACATGCAAACACTAGTGATGCCATCATCATCAACGAGGCACTAGACATATACACCCACTCCTTGGGTCTCTTTGTTCTTCCCTTTTTTGGGGGTGGGGGGGTAAGATACTTAACTTGAGATCTACCCTTTTAAATTCTGAAATGCACAATACTATAATGTCAACTGCAGGCCTGAGAAGTTTCGTATTTTAACAATCAAATACATTATCAATCTTTTCCTTTATGGTTTGTATTTTTTGTGTCTTAAAGGCCCATACTAGTTTTTTACCTCTGCAAAAATTATTCCGTAATTTTTTTTTGAAAGAAAAAGGAAATTATACACAAAGAACCATAAAAGGGAAGGCTGAGAAAACGTCAAAGTTATGTTTAATTTTCTTATGTATAAGAATGATGATAAAATATAAGCTCCATGAAAGCAAGGGTTTGGTATGTCTTGTTCTTTCAATCCCCCAAACTGACCACAGTAGCTGGTACATAGCTGGGGCCACATATATAAATATATATTTGAATGAGGATTAAACAGAGGCAAAAATAAAGTGACCATTGGTTTTACATAAAACCCAAACATAATGCTAGAGACTATACTTCAAGACCACCTCTGAGCCGAGATGGTAAACAAAATGCAGTTAAAAGTATGGGAAGAACTTGGTAAGGATTGAGTATAATATGTTGACCACCCCCCACTCCAGATCTGCATTTCAGAATTTTGTTAACTTGGAAATAAGTTGGTAAGCTCTAGTCATTCAAAGCTTGTGCATTAAAAACATAAAACAGCACATATGATCTGACTTAGCCAGTTGAAATAAGCTCAATATTGATTAAATTTACTTAAAAGGCAAGCTAATTCGGTCAAAAATGAAACCTAAATTAAGAAACCACAAGAGAGGAGGTAAAGTACTTACTTTCTACTCTGTTGCTGTCTCTGATGCAAGAGTCGACGATGCTGTGGATGAAGGTGGGTTGTGTCTGGTCTAAACATTGGGGCCTGTGATCTAAGGAAAAAGGGAAAGATGTTCAGTTCTGTCCTTCTGAAGACCTGAAGTTTTAAAGAATGTGGTCAACACTGGATCACTTCACACAGGTTCACCCAAGGGAATGCTGGTGTCTACTCTAAGAAGATCTTTCAGAAGGAAGACATAGGTGTATTTTTATGTCTTCCACAAAAGACAATTCTCAACTCCTAAGAAGACAATCATAAAACCTGAGTAAACCAGCAGTAAGCTAGTTTAATTCTCTTTGCTCCTAACTGTTAGAGAAGTCTCTTTAATGTACTCAAATTCACATTTGGAAATGACACTGAAAATATACATGTGATGGTTAATTTGTCAACTTATCTAAGATACCCAATTGTTTGGACAGTCACTCATCTAGATATTGCTGTGATGGTATTTTGTAGATGCTATTAACATTTACAATTAGCTAACTTTAAGAAATAAGAGAGATGGCCCTAGATAATGTGGCTGGGCCTTGGCAATCAGTTGAAGGCCCTAAAAGGAAAACTAGTTTCCCAGAGAAGGAATCTTGCCGCAAGACTGAACATGGGAAGGCCTGACTGAGTTTCCAGCCTGCTCACCTGCCCTACAAATTCAGACCTCAGGTTGCAACCACAACTCCTAACAGAATGTCCAGCCTGCTGGCCTGCCCTATGGATTTTGGACTTCCTAACCCCACAATCATGTAAGCCAATGCCTTACAGTAAATCTTTTTCTTTTTTTTTCTTTTTTCTAAATTTTTTTTCTTTATTTATGTATACCCTATTGGTTTTGCTTCTCAGGAGAACCCTGAGACAATGTGATATATAAAAAACACAATTTCAGTGAAGAAGGAACTTAAACCTCTCATCGTAAAATTGCAGTGGAAGCAAGCAAGTAGCTAAGCACTTTGATTAGCTGACAACTCAGCATCCATATCTCTGTTCCTTTTTTTTTGTGGCTGCATGATCTCAGTTCCCCTGACTGAACCTGGGCCATGGCAGTGAAAGCACTGAGTCCTAACCACAGGACTGTCAGGGACTTCCCGCTCTGCTCCTTAGCCTAAGACCATTCTTGTTAAGTGAGAAGCACTCTGTGCATGTTATGTGTGTGTGTGTCAAATGGATACGTGAGACATAAGAAACTTTAGAAGAAATGAAAAAGGTGACTAATGTGCAAATGTAAGCAGGAAGCATCTTGCTGTTTAGTTGCTCAGTTGTGTCCGACTCTCTGCGACCCCAAGGACTGTAGCCCATCAGGCTTCTCTGTCCCTGGGACTTCCCAGACAAGAATCCCGGAGGGGTCGCCATTCCCTTCTCCAGGGGATCCTGCCGACCCAGGGATGGAACCCACCTCTCCAGCACTAGCAGGCAGTTCTTTATCACTGAGCCACCTGGCAAGCCCAGGAAGCACGTGACTCGAGGGAACTGTGATTCATGTGAAACCTTGGAGACCATCAAACATTTCTGTGTTTGGCAACTTGAGGATCAAATAACATCTCAAAATACATCATGTGAAAATAGCAAAGAGACCTCTACCTTCTACCACTACATGTCAGCGATCAAGACGCTCAGCTGACAAGGAACAGACAGCGGCACTTTCTGTATACCTTAGGTTTTGCAGGTGGGGTCCTGGACCGGGGGGGTGCTGCTGTGGAGGTGGCGGTGTAGCGGGGGGTGGGGCGCTGAAGAAGGCACGGAAGCCTGGCGCCGGGGGGAGCATCTGCCTGACTCGACCTTGCAACAGCTTGGGATTCATGGCAGCAAGCGGGCTGCCCACGAATCCAGGGACCCGTGCAAACTGGCTGGGAGACATCCGTCCGGGCTGTAACTGCAAGAAGAACAAGATCTTGGATTTAGTTGACTGGCAGGTCCCCTTACTTTCATCCACAGAATAGTGAATACTGCTTCCATCAGTAACTCTGCTTGAGAAAGTAATGGGGGGAAGAAAAGAAGAGGCAGTAGGAATTGACTAGTAGCAAAAAAGAAAAGCGGGGGGGGGGAGGGATGTGAGCTAGTGAACCTTAGGAGGGTAAGGCGAGCTCTTGACGGGCTGAGCTAATCCTAGGCTTACCTGCGCTCCTCCAAGAAGCTGTGCTCTCTGGAGGGGGCTGAGGACAGGAGGGACACTAGGTGGGAAAGGGTGGCCCAGCAGGGAGGAGTTCTTAAAAAAAAAAAGGAAAATAGAAAACATTAGAGTCATACCATAATAACAGGGGAGCTCAATAGAAATGCAGAATAGACGTGGACAGGAAAACTCTCAAAGGGTGGAGCTGAGCTGTCCACTGAAGGGATGTAAGAGAGAGTAATGCTAGAAGTCACGAAGCACTAGGATTATGTAACGTGAAAAAGGAAGCAGTAGAATGAAGGACTGTAATAGCACGAAACCAGATCATGTCAAGTTTAGATCTTTAAAGATACGAAATGAGCCGAGGTAAGAAAGAGCTGAACACGATGAACCACGTCTCCTGGCCTGGGGACTCGTAAGATCCAGAAATCCAAGCATGGAGATTATGAAAACATGTACCACGTAGGAGGTATCGACACACCAGGCCCTGACAGGGAAATGCACACCGCGCGTCTTCACTAGGCTGCAGACATACCGGGACGCCGCAGAGCTGGTCTGGAGGCGCCCTCTCACCGTAGGGAGCAGGGAACCGTGGCGGCACCGGGGGCCGAACGTGGACAGGCTTTGGACACAGAACCTACGAGGACAAACACACATACAACTACACTCAGTGAAGTCAGTCTTTCCTCCACCTATACTCCCTCCCCTCGAGCACTGGCAGAGACACAGAACTCAATGCGAAGCCCTACTTCTAAGCAAACTGCTATGGCTCTGGTCCACATGTAGAACCTTCAGTCACTTCCTCTCACAAATATCAAGCAACGTGCCACTTTTTAACTGAGGAAGATTTAGCTAATTCTCCAGTTATCCCCACCCTTCCATGCTATCTGAGGGAGGTACCAGCAGATATTCTGACTTGCAAATTCTCTCCAAGAGGATATGTTTTGGTAGCAGTGAGGGAGATGGAATGATAAGAAAGCTGGAGGATTAACTAAGTCCTATTCTGAAGCCCCTGTGATATGGCCGCCATGCTCAGCTCTTTCGTGTCCACTGTGACTCCACCATTTCAGAGGATATTGAGCCTAACTAGGCCATACCAATACCACCCTCCCCCCATACCTTCCACATTGGCCTTCCTTTCCAGCTGCTGGTTTCAGGTGGAGGGAAGTCTATGGAACAGGACTGCACAGGCTCTAGGGAAAGCAGGGATATCTTAAAGGTAAAAAGGGATGTGGACAATGCTCTGTGTTCCCACTCCCCCCAGCTTTCAGCCACCTCTCTGCCAAGGTTGTGGGCAGCCAGCAAAACACTTTAAAAAGGATATTTACACTAAATGTGGTTAACTACCCTTTTTCTCCCCCAATGAAAAGGCAGCAGCAACAGGAGCAGCATCAGCAAAGGGCATTGGGGAATGTGTCTCTTATTTGTGCTAACTTCTCCACTAATTGGCTATTTTTCTTTCTAATCTAATGCCTACCCCACACTTCCACCCTCCTCTCAGTAGCACATTTCCCAAAGAATTTTGCCCAGATTCCCAGTACCCTGGGCTGAGTGCCTGTGGATGAGAGGTACCTGCTGGTTGAAGCTGGGCACAGCCACCTGCTTAGGTGGGGTGCCTATGGGGACAGCTCTAACAGGAGGACTCCCAATGACAGGCGAGGTGGACCGCCTTGGTAGTGCACGCTCGGAAAGGTCCCGATCGTCTTCTGGGCCCTGGGGGGGCCTCTGAGGCAAGGCATATTCTAACACAGACACTGTAGGCATTTCCTAATTGAGGAAGTAGTGTTAAAAAAATTAGCTAGCTCGAAATCTCTTAATCACCTTTACAGATGCCCAATACCTTGAGAAATTATTTTTAAAATTTCTATTTAGTTTCATTTCACATCCAGTAAAATTTACCCTCTGTGGCGTAAAGAAATAAATTCTGATAAATGTACTGAGTCCTGGACCTACCACCAAAATTAAGACACAGAAGTTTTATCACTCCCCAAACTTCCTCAGTACCGTCCCTTTGTAGTCTAAATCTCCCATTACCCTCAACCACTGCAAACATCAATCTGTTCTGTCCTGACAGTTGTGCCTAAAAATGACTGTGTGTGTGTTCAGTCGCTTGGTTGAGTCCGACTCTCTGCGGCCCTGTGGACTGTAGCCCGCCAGGTTCCTCTGTCCATGTATTCCAGGCAAGAATACTCAAGTGAGCTGCCATTTCCTACTCCAGGGGATCTTCCTGGCCCAGGGATAGAACCCATGCCTCTTCCAACTCCTGCACTGCAGGCAGATTCTTTATTACTAGCGTCACCTGGGAAGCCCCTAAAATGACTTTAATTGAAACTGAGATCATAAGCTGCCAAAATTTTCAAGTTCTAACGGCTCCCTTTCAACCATTTCCAAGGAAAGCACAACCAAGTGCGCATTCCCATGGAGTCTGAGGCTCAGCTGTGGCTGCTGGGTGGTGAGATCAACACGAGGCCAGCAGGGAGCACACATCTATACATCGCCCCAGCAAGGGGTGGGGGGGTAACAATGGGTGCCAGGCTGCGGATGCTAGGAATTTTATATAATGAAAAAGTCTAATACCTGAGCAAGCAGGGGTCCTCGGATTCGCCTCAGAACTTCAGATCCATCCCAGATGCTCGAATTCAGACTTCCTGGTTGGGGCTAGCAAGAAAGGAAAACACACACACAGTGTGGAATAGTGCAGGCTCTCTGGGCAACTTACCAGTTTGTGGTGAACAAAGCTCCCAAAGAGCTGCAACTGTTCAAGATAAATAAACTATAGCATTCTGTGAAAGAGAAAGTGAAGTCACTCAGTCGTGTCCGACTCTGCGACCCCATGGACTGTAGCCCACCAGGCTTCTCTGTCCATGGGATTTTCCAGGCAAGAATAGTGGAGTGGGTTGCCATTTCCTTCTCCAGGGGATCTTCCCCACCCAGGGATCAAACCCGGGTCTCCCGCATTGGAGGCAGACACTTTACCATCTGAGCCACCAAGGGAGCCCCTATATAGCATTCTAGAAAATACCTTATATCCCAACTTCATCTCCAGAATTGCTATCATAAGGAATAATATCACCAAATTTCTATGGCACGTGTAATTCTCTCAGTATAATAAATGAAATCAAATAGCAATCAGTTCAGTTCAGTCACTCAGTCGTGTCCGACTCTTTGCGACCCCATGGATCGCAGCACGCCAGGCCTCCCTGTCCATCACCAGCTCCCAGAGTCTACTCAAACTCACGCCCATCGAGTCGGTGATGCCATCCAGCCATCTCATCCTCTGTCGTCCCCTTCTCCTCCTGCCCCCAATCCCTGCCAGCATCAGGGTCTTTTCCAATGAGTCAACTTTTCGCATGAGGTGGCCAAAGTACTGGAGTTTCAGCTTCAGCATCAGTCCTTCCAATGAACACCCAGAAATTGCAATAGCAAAGCCCAACACTCTGCTTCAATTCCTAGTCTGCTCCAGCTCACAGCCACTTACTTGCATCACTGGCCTGGTCTGTACCGCCCTCATGATAGCTGGGTCTTCGAGTTCATTTTCAATCACCATCTTACTGAGCCTCTCTGCCAGATTTTCCTCATGGTCACCCAACAAGTCCATCTCATCCCTTTCCCCATTGCCGGTTTGTTCATTAACTGCTGAAGGCAGCTTCTCCTCCAGTTCAGCCAGGCGCTCATGTGCTTCCTGCCAATCATCATCTACAAGGAAATCAGAAAAAGAAACAGAGTTCATATTGGAATAAAAAGTTTCATGAAATTCTTCTATTAACCAAATAAACAATTCCAACTCCAGAAGACAGGTGGGAGGTTAAATTTCCACCTAGACACATGAAATAAGGTTTAAAGTAAGGGGGTGCATTTAAAGTGGGCTTCTCACTACTGAGAACAAACATCCTATCAGGAATAATATTCAAATGTTTTGAGTAATAGATTAATACATTAGCAATGGCATCTAGATTACCTTCTGAAACTGATTTCTAAATTGGTGATATATACATATACTACACCTGTGGGTTTGAGATTCTGCGACATTTTAGGCAAAAACTCATGCTAGCATACAACTTTCTCTTAGATAACTGTCACCTTCTTTACAAGCTTTTAAATCCATTCATTTCATCCAATTAGTGTGTTTTGAGCATCTATTATGTGACAAACACTGTTCTAGGTGCATGGCATACATCGCCATTAGAAACAGACAAGGAAAGTGACATTTGAGCAAAAATTCAAGAGTTAAGAAGTTAGCCATGTGGATATCTAGGGGAAGAGTGTCTCAGGCAGAGGACGGTCAGTATAGAGGACTTAGGATGAGAGACTGACAATTTTCAGAAGCAAGGACTGCGTTTGGACTGGAACAAACAAGGGTGAAGAGTAGAAGAAAAATGAGGTCGGCGCGGATCGGAAGGAACTCTCAAAGGTCCTTTAGAGCTGCTCTGAAATGGGGCCCCTGGAGGTCAGGATGTGGCTGGACTTGCTGAAAGAATCGATCTGGCTGATGTGCTGAAAACAGATTTGGGGAGAAGGGGGTCACTCTACGGAAAGCATGGAGGTCTGTTAGGAGGCTACTCCAAGTACACCCAGGGGAAAGGTGAGGGTTGGCCCTCTTCTTTAACTGTCTCCATTTCTGCACACTACTATAGAGTCTGTATCACTCATACTAAGTTATTTTCTCATTGTTTATGCTGACAGAGCATCATTTCGCAGATGAAAATCTTCAGAAGCCTTTATCAGCTTCTCTAGAACTAGACCTCACCTCCATCACTTCTCTTATTGCAGGCTCCTTATCCACATCACTCATCCTTCCCTCCTACCTCCATCGTAAAAGTGCTACTATTCCGCTCCTTTCAGCGTTCAAACCCAGATACCTGTCCTTCCCTCCGCACTGACGCCTTCTCTGAATAATCTTCTCATTCTAATTCTTACCATCGCCTCACCTAACCCACCAAAACCCCATGTATGCTCTTGCATAAGTTACCTATTTTTCTTATTTTAGTTTTGCATGTTATGCAAAATCCAACATAGAGACAATAGGTAATTCTCTTTGTAACTAACATCGCAACACAGGATTCTGTCAAATGGTCCTTCATGACAATCCTCCCCACTTAATTTTTCTATGTGTCTCATTTAAAGAAAGGAGAAGGACTGGAAACAACATGCAAAGAAAAAAAAAGTGTCTGGTATATACTCAGGGTGTAATAAATGATAGTTACCTCAAAAAAAGACTCAGATTTTCATATGCAACTTGTTAGAAGTATCTTTACTCTTTTTTCCTGTTTACATGTTTGCTAAAAAAAATTTAAACATTATACAAATATGTAACTTCATGAAACTTCCCCACAATTCTTCAGGAATGTTAAATTTTTAGCAGTAGAAACATGTAACTACTGATAAAAACAGGGTTAAGTGGGATTTCCAAATTTATAATCTGATACAATCAGAACCACTGTGTATTCTTGGATCACTGTGGTAGATTTGAATGTACTATGTACAGTAAAGGAAAAATATAGTTTAGATGAAAATTTATAGTACTAAATCATCAGTTATTAAAAAAAATAGCATAATCAAAAATCAATTGTGACATTAATATTTTGTGCCATCTTTGCTAAAGAAGAGTAAGCTAAGCATGCTCTGAAGGACCAACTGCTTTTTCCAACCTTACTGACTCAACAATGCCAAAAAAGGGGGGGGAAAAAAGAGTCTATAATCCTGAATTATGGGATTTTTAAAAAACATTCATTACCCAAATTTAAGAAACTGATTTGTTAATGGATTAATTCTAATGTAGAAGAGTTTCCATTCACTTCTCATAATCTTATTTACTAACTTTACTATATGTCTCATCAAAGATGATAATCTACTTGTCCTTGGTAATTAATTTAAAAAACACTGATTAGTAGCCATATTCTGTAAGAAAGGCTCTGTTGTGAATTGTTACTTTTTCAAACATGTAAGTAAAGAAATCTATGCCACAGAACACCATGGTTGTCATTTTAGGTATTTGTTTTGTGAAAAATCACCTGAAGCAATGCCAGAGACCACACATGTCCTTGGTGTAAAAGGACACTTCACTCTGTATCTTCTTCGAATGACTGAAAGAGTGTTACTTACACATGCCCTTGTTTGTTTGATCTCAACCCATGCTCATCAAAATGATATAGGAGAAAAAAATAACAAGAGAAATGAAGTGAAAGAGATACCTATTTTCCTTCAACTAATTAACCTATACTCTGGGACTTCCCTGGTGGTCCAATGGCTAAGATTCTGTGCTCCCAATGCAGACAGCCCTGGTTCAACCCCTGGTCAGGGAACTAGATCCCACATGCCACAATGAAGATTCTCATGTGACACAACTAAGACTCAGTACAGCCAAATAAACACAAATGTTTAAAAAAATTAACCTATACCCAGATGTGAGTTACTAAAACCCTGTGTGCTTTTATAAACACGTACTTGTTGTGGTAGTTCCCTTCAAATTTGTCTCAGGGATATATATGAATAAAAACAAAATAAAGAGGAAACAGAGTTAATTTAATTTTAGAGCAATCTCAGTCTCTAAAGATTTCAGCAGCTATCAGTAAAAAGGAGGAAGAAAGAATGAGGATCCTTCCACGTGGAGTCAGAAGATTTCCAAGGATTCCCCAAAGACTGTTAAAACATAACTTGTAGTTTACACTGACTGTATTTATAGTTACTTAACCTCTCTGGCACTTTCCTTTTTCATTGGCTGAAATGATGATAATAATAGTACCTACCTCATAAGATTGCTATGAGGATTAATAATATATGTAAAACATTTAGAATGGTCCCGAGCATATAATAAGCACCTTGGAAGTGTAAGCTTTCATTTTTAGAGAATGAGTTGAGGTTACTGTGGCCCATTTATTGCTCAAAGATGATGCAAATGTTTTTTTCCATGCAAAGACACTGACTAGTTTCTTACAGAAAGGTGACATCAGAGCATTTGTAGCCAGTGACTTAAAATAACTACTGTATTAACAGGTGCTACTCAAGATACTCACTCCTTGAGTTAAAATCCATCAAGTCAAACTATATATCACAGGTCTAACATTCTACCTTCTTGTTTAAATTCTCTACTCACCTATGGAAATATATTGAACAAGTCACAGGTGGACTTAGAAAGAACTTTTCTTTTTATAAATCTGTATACTATTTACATCAAGGTGTTAGGAGGAACTAGGATTTTAACCTTACAATTGTTTCAATGTTAAGGGCTCACATTTGGAAATCTTTTCTCCACTATGGACTCTGTAGACCAAGAAGTCCTTAACCATCCTTGTGCCTCAGGGTACAAAAATGGGCTACCCACATGCTATTTCACTGCTCTTAATTTTTACCACCTGTTTTACTGTGTAACCCTAGGGGCTTTTTCAATGTGTGTGCACTTTTTGCTTTTCCAGCCCATAAAATACAATTCTGCATACTTTAAAATACTTTTAAGGCAATACTTTCCTTATCTTGGGAGAAACACAGAAATTCAGGGAAAAAAACTGTCAAGCACTCTGGAGGTCAGGGAGAAGGCAAGACCATTTCTCTCCTGTCCCAGTTCAAAACTGAGGACATTTACTATATTTCATCTTAATATACTTCATTTTAATACAGACTAATCTGCTACAAAATGGTAACATTCAGTACAATATATTAAGAGAGAAAGAGTTCCAGAAGCAAGCACACACTTGTTTGTAGCTTTATCGTATTCTTTAGGTTTTCACTAAAGTTTCAAGTATAATCTTCAATTCCCATCAGTTCCCTGCTTTTGTCATTCTCTGTTCTTCCTCCCCTTCCCTGTGATCTCCATGGAGAAAGAACAGCATCTTAGATCATGTCATCCTCTTGGATGAGCTCATCCCTTAAATTATGGCTGTAATCCAAAAGGTCTTCAGTTCCCTGTTGCAATGAGCCTTGCTTCTACTTTAAATACTTCTCTTGCTGCTCCCCAAAGCAGCAGCTTTAGCTCTCCAGTGAATTCTGTAAACCCTGACTGAACAGAGAACATTTTTTCATTTTTGCCAGTTCACTCAACTCGGTCTAAGCTTAAACAAACTTTAGCCATTTTGGTCACTGCAAAACCAGTAACTAATATGATATTTTTTAAAGACCTCTTGTTTGTTTTTGATATTCAACATTTTGGGGTTACCCCATACTGATAAGTTTCCTCTTCTTCTTATTACTTAAGTTTGAATATTTGTTGCTTAGACAGAGTTCAAGGAAACTCCACATAGTCACACATCCCAGGGTAAATGTGGTCATTGTCGTTTTTCAACACCATCAGTCAAAGCAAAGGACAGCTGCATCTCTCTATTTTGGCCTCGCACATGCTGGATTTTAGTTCTCCAACCAGAAATGGACCCCGGGCCCTTAGCAGTGAGAGTTCAGTCTTAAGCACTGGACCACCAGGGAATTCCCTTACCTATTCATCTTTTAAGTACAGTTTAATTTTAACTTATAAGAATGCTTGTTCTAGAATTTCAATTTTCGAACTTTATCATATAAACTTGCCCCCTCAGTTTCTCATCTCAGTAATTTTAACTGTGACCTCTAGTTTAGTTTGGCTGTTTAATTTTTTAACCTCTTCCAACTCCCGAAATATTTTCTATCTCCAGGGATGAGAAAATGTCATCTGTGCACAGCACTTTTCTAACTTATTAAGACTTTCTATCACCAAAATTCTTGGAATCAAAAACTCTATTTTACTGAATATACTACAGTACAACAGCAGGATCATGCTATATACTATTGATCAACTAAATTTTAAAACATACATAACTGAATCTGAGTTTTCTTCTAGTCCACTAGTTTTCCTTAAGTTATATGTTCCAGAAAAAATATTTCCTTCTCCTAGGATTATTTTAAGACTTTATAAAATATGCACTTCCTTAATCATGTGATTTTCTCATAGTGTCAACTGAGGGCCACAGATCATAAAACTGGAAGGGACAAGGCTAGAGAAACACCTGGTTTTGTAAGTGAGGCAAACAGAAGCCGAGAGGAGCAGGGTAGATGCTTGGAGTGAAGAACAGAAGTCTGCCAACTCTGTGAATGAGGATACTCCTGCTAAGACAAAAGTATCAATGCTGATAAAAGACAGCATTTGAAAAGAGCAGGAGACCAAGACATTACAAAAGAAAGCTGTCACTTACCAACTGCACCTGATCCAAATGTATCATCATTGAATTGATCAATCTCTTCGTCCTCCTCTCCCAGGCCCTGAAATGCATCTTCATCTTCATCCAGAGGACAATCCTCCAAAGACTAAAAAAAAAAAAGAGAGAGAAAAGATTAGTTATTCAGGAAGTTCACAACTTCATTTTCAAAATGTTCTAAAAATGTTCTTCTTACCTTACCAATCAACACAATAGCTTCATTATGACTTTCTGTACAGATGGCATTTTTTCTATCCCCCAATTTCCCTGACATTGGAAGATTCAGTACCTTTTCTTTCAACTTCTCTTTCCTATTTATTTAACCTCTTCCCCCAAACTTCCATTTCTCTATTTATCAAGGCTCTAATAATAGCATTTCCTCATGCAACCAAGAAATTAGGCCTGCAACTTCCTTTCCATCACTGGTTACAATGACAACTGAAAATGAACACTTTATTTTGCCCGAGTTAATATTTTTCACTTAAATTCTCATCTTCCCCATGTTCATGTCATATTCTCAACTAGAATCCCTTTTAAAGCTTTCTCTTCATTTTCCTTCACCCATTTTGTTTTCCTATAGGCTGAAACTTTGGTGGTAAAAGAGAAAGCTAAGTTTTCAATCACAGCGAACTCTTGAAAAACTGTGATGTGACCAGTTCGAGCTCCGTCTCTACTCCTCCAAGTGATGCCAACCTGGACAAGCCACACCCCTTCTGATTAATTCATTCAATACTTCCTGAGCACCTACTGTGTCTCAGGCTGTGTTAGACTTTAAACCACAGTCTCTTTTAAGTGGTAATGCAGGGACAATACCATCTCCTTCAGAGGTGTTGCGAGGCTCAAAGAAGGCTAAGTTTTAGACAAACACTGGATACTGCTAAACAATGCTAAATATCACCATTACAACCTAGGTGTGTTCTAAACACTCCCTTCCCTCGCTCTTCATTTCACTTCTCAACTGATTAATTTTCCAAGTTTTCTTGGGAACTTTGCCTACTGCATCTCATCACTTCTCTCCATATTTACATAAAGCCAGTTTGATCTTGAGCCATTCCTATCAAATAGCAGGTCTTTGTGTCCACAGTTTTCAAAGACTCAGGGTCGGGACTCCACACTCTCTCTGCAGTCACAATTTTGATATACCTTGACTGACCACCTCTCAGCGAGGCTGTTCCCAAATGAAAGGTTAGGTTCAAGGGCCAGTCTACCCATCTTAAGTCCTCCCAAACTCAACACGAAACAAGCAGGCGACTGCCTCCACATCAGAAGCAACTTCTCGAAGAACTAGCAAATCACGGAAGTCTATCGAACCAAATCACTGCTTCTCAAACTGGACAGACTCTTAGGGATCACCTAGACCAACCGTCAGTTCCACAAATCCCAGAAACCCCGTCCAAGGGTCAGAAGTCGCTAGAGGTCACACGGCAAGTCAGCCACAGCGCCAAGACTCTCGACAGGTCCTGCATTCCCGGGACCTTCCCCCAACCCGCGTCTCCCGGGACTCCTGCGGGACACGCCCCTCCCCAACCCCCTGTCCTCTTCAGTCAACAGTCCTCGGCCCCAGTCAGAAGGCAAGTCCGGGCCCCGGGGACCTCACGGTCGCCCGTTTGTGAGGAGGAGACGCTTCCGTGTCCAGGGCGGGAAACGCGTCTCTGGCCTTTCCCGAGTGACTCCTCCACAGGAATCACCGGCTGCGGGAGCAAAGGTCTCCCCTAGGCGCCCCTCCGGGGAGGGGGCGGGGGGCTGTTGGTTACGGTACTTCACGGGCCCGCCCCACCCCACCCCACCCCAACACAGAGGTCAGCTCTCTCCGCCGGCCGCCACCCCCCCCCCACCCCCGAGGCTGGCTCACCACCCGCGGCTGAAACCCGCGACCCCAGAACCGACGCCCTCCGAGGGGTCCCCCCGGCCACCCCCGCCCCCCGAAAGCGCGGGACCGACGCGCGTGAGAGACAGACAGAAAGAGAGCTGGGCTTGTGCGGGAGCAGGGGAGGGGTCACTTCCGGTCGCGGCGGCTCACCTCGTAGCGGAACATTCTTGGGGAGGGGGGGGAGGGAGCGGGGAGGGGAATGGGAGAGGGAGGGAAGAGGCGCCGACTCTCCGGGCTCCTCCGCGCGCGGGTCCTCCACCGGCTCGCGACCCCTGGCCGCCGCCGTACGCCAGAGCGTGCGTGGGGACGTGCGCAGGCGCGCCTCGGAGAGGGCGGCCGTCCCGCTCGGCGCCCCGCGGCGGCGGCTGCGCGGGGACAGATTTGGCGTCCCGCTTCCTGGTCTCAGCGGCGGGAAGGAGGTCCCGCGGAGAGAGACTGCGCACGCGCCGCCCGTCGGGGGCTTCCTCGCGGTCTGGGCTTGTAGCTCCGCCCCCCTCAGGCCCTCTGCGCTTGGCCGGCGCTCAGGTTCCAGTCACGAGTTTTCCGTCACTGACGGGGCGGAGAAAAAGCCTTGTGATTGTCACAGGTCAGGGCTTTGAAGAGTCGCAGGCTTAAGTTAGCCTGGGCTGGAAGAAATGGAGATTCCTAGACTGTCTTTACAACGTCCAACACCGTCTTCGAGTTGCTCGGAGCTCCTCACGACTGACCGTGTGCGCCGAATGCGGGGGAGGGGCGGGGGGAGACGTTCGGGTCTTCGGAAGGGGCTGCGTTCGTCGCCACTTTCAGCGGCACGTCACCCGCTGAGCCGACAGCAGATCGGGGCTGTGATTTATGTGTGTCTAAGTGGTGAGGGCGTTAAAAGAAAAAAGCCGAAGACTAGGGAGGTTCCACCCGAGAGGTATTTTTAGGCCCCAGGCGCGCAGAGTGGGAGAGCGGAGAAGGGCAACTCAGCCGTGGGCAGCACGGTCTTCGAGGCTGAGGGTGCCGCTGGGAGACACCAGCTCCTGAGAGGATCAAGCCTGGGAAGGCGTTTGCCCGGGGCGCCGTGCTTCCGGAAGCCTGATGGGGAGATTTACCTCTGGTAGCGCGGCCCGTCCTGCCCTTTCGGCCTCAGGACTCTCCTTGAGGATTAAACTCTCACCACGAAGAATTAATTCGAAGAATTAAGGAGGGCATTTCGCAACTCCTTTCTCCTGGTGTCTCAGAGTGCAGCCTCGCCTTAGGAGTGGCATAAATTCCTTACCAGCTTAATCAGAGTCTGAGGAGTGAAAATTGTGAATTTGGAACAGGAAGTTCTGGGTGGGAGGCAGTGCTTTGTCACTGGCTATTAGGTTTGGAGCAAGTTACCTAAACGTGTCTGAGGCTTAATTTCTCTGTAAAGTGGATTTAATGATACCTGCTTCACAGAGTAGTGGTTCAGTGGCATGATGATTCTAATACTACTACTCTTAATTGCGGTTTGTGAGATAGTGATACTGCTAATCGCTCAGTTGTGTCGCTCTTTGCAACCCATGGACTGTAGCCCATCAGGCTCCTCTGTGCTTGGAATTCTCCAGGCAGGACCACTGTGGTTGGTTGCTATGCCCTTTGGATCTTCCTGACCCAGGCATCGAACCTGGGCCTTCTGGATTGGCAGGCAGATTCTTTACCTTCTGAACTTGTGAGATGCGTACTATTATTTTCTGTATAGATGTGGAACTTGAGGATTAGAGATGTTAAATAATTTATCCTAAACCACTTCCCTTGTAGCTCAGTCAGCATAGAATCTGCCAGCAGTGCTGGAGACCCAGGTTCAATCCCTGGGTCAGGAAGATCCCCTGGAGAAGGAAATGGCAACCCACTCCAGTATCCTTCCCTGGAAAATCTCACAAACACAGGACCCTGGTGGGCTGCAGTCCATGGGGTTGCAAAGAGGAGTCGGCAAGACTTAGAGACTAACACTAAACCACCTATAGCAATGGCAACCAGGTCTCTCTGCTTCCAAAAATCCAATCTGTTAATCACTGTGATGGTTTTACAAAAGTGAATGTTAACATGGGCCAGACCTAAAGCTTGAAATGGAGCAGGCTAAGTACAAGATGAAATTAGAATCCAAGCATTCATACAACATCACACAATTTCATATGCTAGGTACCAGCAAGTCTTAACAATGATCAAAGAATTGGTGCCATGTAAACCCGTGAATACCCCACTCCAGGACTCTTGCCTGGAAAATCCCATGGTCAGAGGAGCCTGGTAGGCTGCAGTCCATGGGGTCTTGAAGAGTCAGACATGACTGAGCGACTTCACTTTCACTTTTCACTTTTATGCACTGGAGAAGGAAATGGCAACCCACTCCAGTATTCTTGCCTGGAGAATCCTAGGGATGGGGTCGCACAGAGTCAGACAGGACTGAAGTGACGCAGCAGCAGCAGCGGCAAACCCGTGTCTGACTCTGTGCGACCCCATGGCCTGTAGCCCACGAGGCTCCTCTGTCCATGGGATTTCCCAGGCAAGAATACTGGGCGGGGGGGGGNCCCAGGGGTCGTTTGAACTCAAGTATCTTGAGTCTTCTGCACTGGCAGGAGGATTCTTTATCACTGCACTCCATGGGAAGTCTGGCAAATTGTGACACACAGTCAAACCTGGCCAGCTGCCTGTTTTTGTCAGTAAAGTTTTGTTGGAATGCAGCCATCCTTATTTATTTACATACTGTTTTTGGTTGCTTTAGGGAACCAAGGGAGAGTTGCATACTTAAAACGGAGGCCGTTTGGCTGACAAAGCCTGAAATATTTACCATCTGGCCTGTACAGAAAGAGTGTGCTGATTCCTGATGTTGTGGATCCTGTTTTCTGATGATTATGTTAGAAATCGGGAATTTAAAAAACAAACTCCACGCCTCTAATTAATGAACTACTTGAGAAAACATAATGGGAAGTAGGAAACATTTACAACTAAGCTATAAACTTATTAACATAGAAAGGCTTTTAGGATACAGCTAAAGCAGTTTGTATAGAAAATAGGATAATCTCAAAGAATAAGGAAAAAAATTATAAAGAGCGGAAGTGAAAGAAACAGAAAGCAAAGTATCATAAAGACCATCAATAAATTTACTTGTTTTTCTCTCTGTGAGGCCTGTCTTTAATGGAGGTTCATGAGAATCCCTTTAGGTAAATAGTGTGTTTTTTAAACTACATAACAGGCCCATTCTTTTCTTTTTAAAAATATTTATTTATTTGGATGTGCAGCGTATTAGTTGCTGCGTGTGGGATCTAATTCCCTGACCAGAGATTGAACCCAGGTCCCTTGTCTTGGGAGTACAGAGTCTTATCCACTAGACCACCAGAGAAGTCCCAACAACCCTATTCTTCAGATGGAGAAGGTACAAATTATTTTCACAGGTAATTCTGGAGAAATACGATATGAGGTCTCTGGAGACTGTCCCTTGAATGGATGGAATAAAAGTCTCTCCTTCATGCCAGGTGCATGAAAGAGGCTTGTGGCATCAGAGAGAGGACATCAGTTAGTGAGAGCCACCATGCTTTCGCATTGTCTGTTCTTCAGAAGTTGAAAATGACCTTCGGTGGTATTTACAGAATCTAGACATCCTCTTTTTTTTTAGATGGTGGTAAAAGAACATAAAATGTACTTTCTTGTGAGACTGGTTTCAGATGTTGTATTAATTTTCATTAAGTAATGTACAGCTCTACAATAGTGGTTCCCAGCCTCAGCATGAGGGCTTATTAAAACAGGCTGCTGGGCCCCATCCCCAGAGTTTGTGACTTTGTAGTTATGAAGTGGGACCTAAGGGTTACATTTATACAGTTCCCAAGTGATGCTGATGCTGTTGGTTCTGGGACAACACTTTGAGAACCACTGCTTTCAGTTATTACCCTTGAATGCTTGCAGAGGGTTATAGAGAGGGAGAAAAAGAGTGGTAGGCTGCCCAGAGGGTCATTTCTCACATAGTCAAGTTGTGATAGACATCCTAGAAAGTTATGGGAACCCTTGGTGCAGCAGACCTCAGACAAAAAGATTAGCAGTATAATGAAAATAAAAATGTATAAAACAAAAACTTGTGGTAGATTAAAAGAGCCTGCAGATTCTTTGACTGTTCTCTCATCAAGAGGTGGGTTCCTTGAATCTGGACTGTGATGGCTTTGACCAAGGGAGAGGTGGGGGAGGTGAGCTGTGTCAGTTCTGTGTCTAGTCTCTAAGAAGGCTGACACTGGGTCCACCTTAGATGTCTATTTACCTTGCCGAAGAGATCACAGGGGAAGGCTCTGAGGCTCCATGGAGAGGAAGAGAGGTCCAGCTGCAACCAGATCACCAGCCACACTGGAATGATGAATGAAGCTGTCCGGGACTCTCCAGACCACTCAACTACCAGCTGAATATCATCGAGGGACCCCCATCCGACCCCACGTGGAGTAGAAGAATCACTCAACTGAGCCTTTCCCAAATACCTGACCCATGATACTGTGGTGATACAATAAAATGGTGGTTTTAAAACACAAAATTCCGGAGTGGTTTATTACTACTAGTAGGTACCTGGGACATCTCTTTAGAAAAGTTACACGTAACTTGAAAATAAGGAAAAGGGTTACTATGTGCCCATTTTGTGTTCTAACAAGAACATTGTCTAATGAGCCTGCTTAAGGGTAACTTGAAGTTCTAGGGGAGGTAGTTTTATTTGACTTAGTATTGACTGTTAGTGAGGTGCCAAACTTGGTACAAGTTACATGTTATTTTGTAGAAGATTGCTAAATTGCGAATTATTTTTGTCCAGTTGAGATGACTTCATTTTGATAGAAAAGGTAACCCCAAAGGGGACCGTTTAAGTGCCTCCCCAGATATTAACTGGTATATTTAACATTCGAGTCTAATTCAGCATTCTTTTCTCCACTCAGTTTGGTACATGTTTTCTTGTCTTTCTTTTAAACCAGCCTCACCATCTTGCTGGTTTTCTCATTAGTGAGATAAATACATGGCCCATACTCATACTGGTTCATAGACTGGTCCCCATACACGGTGGACGAGGAAACACAAGAGAGTCATTCCAGGTTGGCAGGTGGTACGAAGCACCTACAAAGCAAGAGGACTCACATGCTGAGTCTGTCGGGCAGTCAGAAGATGAGTAGCTCACCACACTCACCTTCCAGAATCTTTAAAGATCATGTAGAGCCCTGAACAGAGTCCAGTCATGCACAACACCTCACTCTCTTGTCCTTGAAATAGCTCCCACTGTGGGAAAGGTAGACAGAACGTACCTTCTGAGTACAGTGGAGGGGGTGTGGCGCATCCAGTATCCAGGGTCCAGTTCTGCGGTCAGCACGTGATCATGTCATGTCCTCTTGGTGATGACCTCCAACAGCTTGTGATACATTTGACAGTTTATTATGTAAAAAGCTGAGAATCTGTTATGTACTGTTTTGATCATGGCCTGGTTGCTTTATTAGGTACGAGTTAAGTGTTGAATGGTAGTGTGTTAGCTTACTCTCGCTGCTGTTAACAACTTACCACAAACTTAATGGGTTAAAGCAGCACTAACTTATTCTTTTGCAGTTCTGGAGGTCAGAGTCTAAAATGGGCTGTAGTACTGTGTTCTTGCTTCCAGAGATGACTAGGAGAAAATCTGTTTTCTTACTTTTTTTAGTTTCTAGAGGTTGCCTGCATCCCTTGGCTCACAGACTCATCCTCCATTTTCAAAGCAAGGAGGCTAGCATCTCCCAGACTGTCATCTGTCTGTCTCCTTCTGTTGTCACATTTTTCTCTCCCTTCCTCCTTCCTCCCTCTTGTAAAGTAATTTGTGATAACAGTGGGGAGGGGCTGCATATTGATAATCCAGGGTAGTCTCTTCATCTCAGGATGCTTAATCTCATCTGCAAACATCCCATTTACTGTATAAAGGAACATACAGGACTTGGGGGAGCATTTGGGAGGCCAGTTTTCAGCCTACCCCACGTGGTATGTGGGAACCATGGTGGGGCATCCAAGGTAACTTTTGGTGGTATAATGAGGAAACGTTTTAACATTTAAGTGTTGGTTCTATAAACTATTTAAAGATGGAAAGAAAGATTTCACTAGGTGGAACTATGAAGGGCATTGAAAGGAGAGTCAAGAATGAGTAGGGGAGCAGGATCTCAGAAGGGGCAGCTTGGTGCTGACAAGGCCTTGGCAGTAAGCACAGGCTGCAGGGACATCTCTCCTGTGTGAGTCTGTGAGTGGGGGGCTCTTGGAGGTGAGGAAAGCTGGTGGTCTGCTGGGGTGGACCGTGGCACTAGCGGATAAGACAGCAGAAAGCCAGTCTTGCTGCACGTGTGTCTATTATGGAACTGCTGAGAGAAGGGGGTGCTTGCAGTGCTGCTGCTTTTGTTATTTCCTGTTGGCTCAGCACTGCAGAGCCGAGGTGGGGCACTGAGAACGAGTCCCCTCATCATTCACACCAGCGGTCCCCAGGCTTTTTGGCACCAGGGACAAGTTTTGTGGAAGACAGTTTTTCCACAGACTGGTGGAGAGGGGGAGAGTTTGGGGATTTTTCAAATGCATTACTTATTTGATGCATTTGATGCATTCAAGTGCATTATTGTGCACTTTATTGTTCTTACATTGTGATATCATTATACAGCTCACCGTCACTTGCCACTTGCTGATAGGGTTTTGATATGAGTCTGCAAGCAACTGGTTTATGGTGGTCCCTGTGAGTCAAGCCTCCCTGGAAACAGTCTGTATTTGCAGCTGCTCCCCAGCACTAGTGTCCCTGTCTCAGCTCCGCCCCAGATGATCAGGCGATGCATTCTCATTAGACCTGTTGGGAGGCAGCGCTCGGTGGTAACAGCTCTGGGGAGCAGCTGCAAACACAGATGAAGCTTCAGCTTCCTCATGCTGGTCATTTCCTGCTGTGCGGCCCAGCTGGGAACCCCTGATTTACACAACTCAGGCAAGGAATGGTTTTTCTTTTTGGGGGGGCTGCTTGGTCTGCAGGATCTTAGTTCCCTGACCAGGGATTGAACCCGTGTCCTCAGCAGCAGCACTGAGTCATAACCACTGAACAGCCAGGGAATTCCCAGAAACTGTTTCTTATTCAGCATTTTATTCTCTCCGCAACACCTGCTTCAGCACCTAACTATAATTGTTCAAACATTTCTGAGTTCTTCTTTTTACTTGTAAACCAACATATAGAAAAGAGATGGTTCACACACTTCACACACTATACCTTGTAGGTCCAGGTGCTCTTCAAGTACCCTGTAGTATCACCTCCTCCCCTTGATTTCCTGTGGTTTCTGCAGAATCATCAGAACTGGGCTGAATGGCAGCATCCCATTCAAAATATATATGTGCCCATTTCACTGGCAATAGCTAATGCTAAAGAAATGGGGACGGGCAGGGTCAGGAGAAAGGGAGCAAATCCCATGAAAGCTTAATCAGCTCCCACACTTAACTTCCTGTCCAATACCTTGGCTTTCCTATGCCCAAGCTTAGCGGTGCCATGTTTCTGGCATTACACTCCCATACTTCCCCACCCCTAAATGAGAGAGGCTGGGCTTCCCTGGTGGCTCAGCAGTAGAGTTCACCTGCCAGTGCAGGGGACGTGGGGTTGATCCCCGGGTTGAGAAGATCCCCTGGAGTAGCAAGTGGCAACCTGCTTCAGTACTCTTGCCTGGAGAATCCCACGGACAGAGGAGCCTGGCAGGCTACAGTCTGTGGAGTCACAAAGAGTGTGACAGGACTTAGCGACTAAACAACAGCAGCAAATGAGGAAGGATAGGTTAGCTTCTAGTTTCTGGTCTTTTCCTGGGGCACTTGGGAGAAGGAGAGAGAGATTCAGACTATTTCATGAGCCTGTTGTTACTGGAGGGACCTTGGCTGGCTCTCTTTTTTGGGGCCAAATTCACAAAAGGAAGAGAAGCTTGTTCAACAAAGTCTGAAAATCTGCAAGCGTTGTATGAATACTACTGAAAGCCTGGCAGTGTTCCACAAACAATCATACAGAAGCCTGATGAAATTATAAGGGTGCTTAAGCACTCAGGCACACTTGTTTCCCTCGCTTGTTAGCTGACAGGAACACAGTTTGATTAGGAAGATGTCTGCACTGTGGTTTTCTTTAGTTTCTTCCCTATTGAGTAAGATAGATTATCAGAGAAAACACAAGATGCATAGTATAAGACACAGGACATTTAGGATTTGGTAGTGAACTTGGGATTATATAACGCGCAAACCACCCTGAATTTAGTGGGTTAAAACAATAATGATTGACTTGGCTAATGAATTTGCAGTTTGGCTGGGACCACCTCTGCTCCAGGTGGCATCAGTTGGTACTGCTTGAAGGCTGGGGGTGACTCAGTGGTTGGTTGCTGGAATCATCTGACATTTCACTCACTATCTGGCATTTGATACTACCAGTCAGCTGGGGGCCCAGTGGGGTTTTCAGCCAGAGCACTTACTTGTGGGCTTTCTATGGGGTTTCTTACTTTCTTCAGAGCATGGTGGCTGGGTTCTAAGAGCAAGTGTCTCAGAAGGGTCCATCTGGGGTGTGTCCCTTTTATGATCCAACCTCGAAGGTCACAAAACATCACTTCTGCTTTAGTTACAAGTCCATCCAGGTTGGAGGGAAAGATGGACCCCACTCCTGGAGGGGAAGTGTCAACATTATCGTGTGAGGAGAACATGTGGGAAGGGATGTGTGACATCAAGGTCATGTTTGGAAAATACAATCTGTCACAAGGACTAAGAAGTAGGAACTCAGGCCCTTTGGATAAGACAGGCTCAGAAAACTCTGGAGACAGAAGTCAAACCTCACGAGGTAAATATCTGTCTCCCCTTAAGAAGTCACCACCACCACCACCAGGACCGCTACCTGTGTTTATTATAACTGTGTGTGAGGAAGGGATATATTCAGAGGAGGCTTGGGGAATCTTTGTAATTTGGGAGCTTATTAAATCTCTGGTAGGTGTACGTCCTGATTCCTTGGTGGCCTATAGGCAAAGGATATATAAAATCCCCCTGAAACCCAACCTATTAATAGCTGCCATGTTCATCTCAATCACTCCCAACACAATGGGGTTTGTGTGCACTAACATGTCACGTTAGTTATCCATTGCCGCATAAAAAATACCCCCCGAATAGCTTCAAACAAAAGTCATTCATTACCTCACAAAGCTTCCGGGTTGGGAGTCTGGGAGCAGCTCAGCTGGCTCTGGCTCAGTGTTTCGGGAGGTCGCCGTCCTCTGGAGGCCTGCCTGGGGCTGGAGGGTCTGGATCCAGGATGGCTCACTCACACGGCTGTTGGCCAAAGGCATGGGCTCCTCCCTGGCTACTCATAGGAGGCTGTGGTTCCTTGCCACGTGGACACCTCCGTGGGGCTTCCTGATCGTCCTCAGGGTGCGGGAGGTGCTCTTAGAGTGAATAACGCTGAGTGTCAGGCTGCAGCCTCAGTGTCTTTTATGACCCAGCCTCAGAAGCCATTTGTCATCATTTCTGCCACATTCTTTTTGCTAGAAATAAGTTAAGTACACCCCGACACTCAAAGAGAGCGAGATTAAGCCCCACCTTGTAAAGAGAGATATATCAAAGAATTTGTGGATGTATTTTAAAACCAGAACAGCCTCTGTGAAGGCAAACTCCAGACCTTTTCATCATGGCAGTTTTCTGGAGAGATGAACAGATTCTAATATTGTGATGTAAATGATTATCAAATGGGGTTTCTCAGGTGGCTCAGTAGTAAAGAATCCACTGTCCAATGCAGGAGATGCAGGAGACGTGGGTTCTATCCCTGTGTCAGGAAGATCCTCTGGAGAAGGAAATGGCAATCCACTCGAATATTCTTGCCTGGAAAATTCCATGAACAGAGGAGCCTGGTGGGGCTATAGTCCATGGGGTTGCAATGAAATGATTATAAAATAGAATGCAAATAAGGTGGTATTGGTGCAGGAATATACAGACTGATTTATGAAATAAAGTAAACAGCTAAGAATGTAACATAAACGTGCCTTTCAGTTCAGTTCTGTTCCGTTCAGTCGCTCAGTCGCTCAGTCGTGTCCGACTCTTTGCAACCCCATGAATCGCAGCACGCCAGGCCTCCCTGTCCATCACAAACTCTCGGTGTTTACTCAAACTCATGCCCATTGAATCGGTGATGCCATTCAACCATCTCATCCTCTGTCGTCCCCTTCTCCTCCTGCCCCCAATCGCTCCCAGCATCAGGGTCTTTTCCAATGAGTCGACTCTTCACATGAGGTGGCCAAAGTATTAGAGTTTCAGCTTCAGCATCAGTCCTTCCAATGAACACCCAGGACTTGTCTCCTTCAGGTTGGACTGGTTGGATCTCCTTGCAGTCCAAGGAACTCTCAAGAGTATTCTCCAATACCACAGTTCAAAAGCATCAATTTTTCGGCGCTCAGCTTTCTTCACAGTCCAACTCGCACACCTATACATGACCACTGTAAAAACCATAGCCTTGACCAGATGGACCTTTGTTGGCAAAGTAATGTCTCTGCTTTTTAATATGCTATCTAGGTTGGTCATAACTTTCCTTCCAAGGAGTAAGCGTCTTTTAATTTCATTGCTGCAGTCACCATCTGCCTTTAGTGTGTTATAAAGATGACATCTCAATTCAATGGATAAAGGAAACATGGTTTGAAAATTACACTAAAGCAAGTGGTTACTTATTTTGGGAGAAAAGTTAAACTTATAGCACAGCATAAAACAGAATAAACACACAGCACATAACGGAATGATAGATCAGTTCCTTGTGAAATTTTAAACATAAAGCAGCAAGAACAAAATATGAGTGAATATTTGTATGATTTCAGGATAAAATTTCAGGATTTCTTTACTGTAAAAATGGAAAAACCTCAAAATTTAAATGTTTAATTCCATAATAATAAATATATCATACATATGTATATATGTAATCATTAACAAAATTTTAAAATATTTTCCACACATATGAGAAAGTGTTAACTTAAAATACCAAGACAAAAATAAATCTTAAAGTTGTTTAAGCATTTTAGAAAAAAATCACACAAATTTAAGTGGCTGTAAATATATAAAAAGATGAATTAATAAATATAAACCAGATAAATAGTTGCTACTGTAAAACCATAAAGTTGACAAATAACAAGAGAAAAAGAAAGAAAAAAAGGAGAAGGAAAGGGAAGGAAGGAAACCAGCCCAGGGTTGATCATAAATTATAAGGTCAGTACCTTTGTGGAACAACAGACTGGTTCCAAATCAGGAAAGGAGAATGTCAAGGCTGTATATTGTCACCTTGATTATTTAATTTATATGCAGAGTACATCATGAGAAATGCTGGGCTGGAGGAAGCACAAGCTGGAATCAAGATTGTGGGAGAAATATCAATAACCTCAGATATACAGATGAAACACCACCCTTATGGCAGAAAGTGAAGAAGAACTAAAGGGCCTCTTGATGAAAGTGAAAGAGGAGAGTGAAAAAGTTGGCTTAAAGCTTCAGAAAACTAAGATCATGGTATCCAGTTCCATCACTTCATGTCAAATAGATGGGGAAACTGTGGAAACAGAGGCTGACTTTGTTTTTCTGGACTCCAAAATCACTGCAGATGGTGACTGCAGCTGTGAAATTAAAAGACACTTGCTCCTTGGAAGAAAAGTTATGACTAACCTAGACAACATATTAAAAAGCAGAGACATCACTTTGCCAACAAAGGTCTATCTAGTCAAAGCTATGGCTTTTCCAGTTGTCATGTGTGGAGGTGAGACTTGAACTATAAAGAAAGCTGAGTGCCAAAGAATTGATGCTTTTGAACTGTGGTGTTGGAGAAGGCTCCTGAGATTCCCTTGGACTGCAAGGATATCCAAGCAGTCCATCCTAAAAGAAATCAGTTCTGAATATTCATTGGAAGGACTGATGCTGAAGCTGAAACTCCAATACTTTGGCCACCTGATTTGAAGAGGTGACTCATTTGAAAAGACCCTGATGCTGGGAAAGATTGAAGGCAGGAGGAGAAGGGGGCGACAGAGGATGAGATGGCTGGATGGCATCACCAACTCAATGAACATGAGTTTGAGTAAACTCCGGCAGTTGGTGATGGACAGAGAGGCCTGGCGTGCTGCAGTCCATGGGGTTGCAAAGAGTCAGACATGACTGAGCGCCTGAACTGAACCTTTGTGAATGGGGCTTTGCTCGTGGCTCAGTGGTGAGGAATCCGCCTGCCAATGCAGGAGACTCAGATTCGATCCTGAGTGGGGAAGAACCCCTGGAGGAGGACACGGTGACCCACTCCAGTGTTCTTGCCTGGGAAATCCCATGGACAGAGGAGCCTGGTGGACTACAGTCTATGGGATCCCAACGAGTCGGACACTGGCTGACTGAGCACACACCTTAGTGAATCATCTGTGGGGGTACAAATTAGTGGTCTTTCTAGAACGCAATTTGGCAGTGTGTAAGTAGGGGTTAAAATATTTTAACTTTAAGGTAGTAATCAGGGTCATACACAGTGACTTATATGTAAGGCTTTTTATCACAGTGATACTTAGAACAGTGAAGCGCTGGTAGCCATCTGTTTTTTTTTGATAAGTCTCATGGGCTTAGCTGCTCCAAAGCATGTAGGACCATCCCAGATCAGGGATCTAACCGATGTCATCAGCATTGGCAGGCAGATTCTTTACCACTGAGCTACTGGGTAAGCCCTGGCAGGCATCTAAATGCCAGTGAAAATAAATGGATATGTTACGACAGTCATGTTTTTGAAGACTACTGGAGTGTGGCAGATGTTTGTGCTACAAGTTAGAGGATGAAGCAGGGTATCAAAGCTCCGTGTTCTATGATATCCCTAAGGTATAGAGTACCCAAATCTTATCTGAGGTTTAACTGGTGAGGCTAGAGGGACTTTCCGGTGGTCCAGCGGTTAAGACTTTGTGCTGCCAGTTCAAGGGGCATGGGTTCAGCCCTTGGTTGGATAACTAAGGTCCTGGATGCCACACCAAGGGAAAAAAGGTAGAACCGTCACAACACAGACAGGCAAGAGCAGAGAGGAGGATGGTCTCATTCCAGTTCTGCCAAACAGCCATCACCCCTTCTTGAAATTTCCCATTCGTAATGAGAAGAAAATGGAATGAAGATGTTTCTAATTTTAAAGCATCACGCATTACACTGTTTTCAATGACATATCAGATATTAATGTATTATACTTTTACAACTTCTCAAGACTAATTGACCTCAAAATAAACAGTTCCCCAAACTCAGTCAATAGAGAGGAGATAAAGAAGAGTTTATGAGTGGAAATTTGAAGAATCATTAGAGCTCTTAGAGGGACTCTCAGGTACTCCACAAATAGTTATTGAACACCCAGTATCTGCAAATCTCTGAATAGCATTGTGGAGAGATTACCAAGAAATAGGAACATTCTTTGCCGTCACGTGATCATTAATTCAATAAATATGTAGTGAGTGTCTAGTTAGGCAATGTTTTTGGCTTCCCTGGTGGCTCAGCTGGTAAAGAATCTGCTTGCAATGCGGGAAACCTGGGTTCAATCCCTGGGTTGGGAAGATCCCCTGGAGGAGGGAGAAGCTACCCACTCTAGTATTCTGCCCTGGAGAATACTGCGAACTGTATAGTCCATGGGGTTGAAAAGAGCTGGATACAGCTGAGCAACTTTCACACTAGGCACTATTTTAGGCACTATGGTGGATCAGTGAACAAAACGGAAATACCTGCTGGTCAAGAGTGTGCTCTCTCATCGATTTACTTTTGTCTGAGCCATGCAGCTTGCAGGTCGATACCTGACCAGGTATTGAGCCTGGAGCCTTGGCAGTGAAAGCACTGAGTCCTAGCCACTGGACCATCAGGGAAATCCCCAACTCACTCTCGTTTCTCAGGTTGTAAGTGATACTGTCTTACTTTCAGCAGCTTGAACTATACTTGGGAGCTAGATACAGGAGCTGGTCTCCTACTGTCTCCTGGCAGTAAAGTAATTAGTAAACCCAGTGCCCCAAGTGCATGTGTTAGTCGCTCAGTCGTGTCCGGCTCTGTGAACCCGCGGACTGTAGCCCGCCAGGCTCCTCTGTCCATGGAATTCTTGGGGCAGCAGTTCTGGAGAGGGTTGCCATTTCCTTCTCCAGGGGATCTTCCCAACCCAGCAATCGAACCCTGGTCTCCTGCCTTGCAGACAGATTCTTTACCATCTGAGCCGCCAGGGAAGCCCCAATGCTTAGATCGTCTAATCCCCAAGTCCATCACTTTCTGGAGGACTATTTCCGGCCATTTACATGAGCCCAGAATCTCCCACACTTCTGAGTTCCGTAAATGTCTCTTCATTACCTTACGCAGGGCGTCTTTCAGTTCCCTGTTTCTCAGATCCAGGGTGCGAAGCTGCAGAGACAGACAGCACCTGCCCGTCTCTGGGCCGTAGCTGGCGCCGCGGCGTAGCTGGACGAGGCCACAGCAGCCGTCCTGGAGGAACCACAGTCGGGGTGGGGAGCAGGTGGAGACGCCCGGGCTGTCCCTCTGCCGCGCGCATCTTCAGGGTGGGGCCGCGGTTAAGGCGACGACACCCACAGTGAAGATCATGGCCTCTTGCCTTTGGGTATCTCCACGTGCCACCCGCCAGATCGGGAGTGCATCGCAGCAGAGATGCGTGATTCTGTTGTGGCCACAGAAAGACAGGTGGAAAAGCTGAGCTGTCAGTTGTAAGGCTGGGACGAAACCAAGGACCAGGGCGCCGACGGCCAGCTGGGTGCGCAGCTGTCTTTTCATGACGAGGGTGTGACGCAGGAGGTCCCGGAGAGCCTCAAACCCATCATAAGCCGCGGTCTCCACGAGGATGCAGTCAGCACAGCCCAGAGAGACGAGGAGCGTCTGTGTGCCACACCCGCGAGAGCGATGGGACTGGCCCCCCGGGCAGGAGGCTGGCCAAAGCCAGAGGGGCAGCAGCGGAAGAGTAAGAGGTTTCCAGCACCGCCGGATCGGTCAGAAAGAGCACCCGGGAGTGTGTGTGAACGCTGTGCCCAGACGCTGAGAAGACGGCAGCGTTGCCAGCGAGACTGCCAACGTCCAACAGCAGGAAAGCCTCAAGAACCAACAGTTGCACCTCCGGATGGGAGAAAACGGGTGAAAGCGGAACTAACTGCATCTCTGTTTGGTTTTCATCCCCCATAAAGCTGGTGCGTTGGGTTTTCTAGCACAATAGAAGGAAATGTATTAGGAAAGAAAGTGTTGCGTGCTTTAGGATGATGGTGAAGACACTGTTTTAGCACCTAAAGCTTTAATAATTAAAATTTTTATTGAATTATAGTTGGTTTTCAGTGCTGTCTTAGTCTAAAGTGTGCAGCTAAGTGATTCAGTTATACAAATACATTTGTGTATGTACATGGGCCTCTCCGATGGCTCAGCAGGAAAGAATCCGCCTGCAGGGCAGGAGCTGTAGGAGCTGTGGGTTTGAACCCGGGGTGGGGAAGATCCCCTGGAGAAGGAAATGGCAACCCATTCCAGTATTCTTGCCTGGAAAATCCCATGGACGGTGGAGTCACAGGGTTCCAAAGAGTCAGACACGACTGAGCGACTTCACATTCACTTTCACTTCAAGGTTCATGGATGGAAAATATTCCTCTTATAAGCCTGAAAGTGAAAGTGAAGTTGCTCAGTCATGTCCAACTCTTTGTGACCCCATGGACTGCAGCCCACCAGGCTCCTCCGTCCATGGGATTTTCCAGGCAAGAGTACTGGAGTGGGGTGCCATTGCCTTCTCCAGGGGATCCTCCTTGTGTCTTATAAGCCTGGTGCAGCTTAATTCCTTTGGGTGTAGAAAACATGGCCACTAAAATCGCACCATCTTAGTAGCACTCCTGCGTTTGGCTTTTTTACGTCCCTGGGGGCTCAGACGGGAAAGCGTCTGTCTACAATGCGGGCGACCCGGGTTCAGTCCCTGGGTCGGGAAGATCCCCTGGAGAAGGACATGGCACCCCACTCCAGTAGTCTTGCCTGGAGAATCCCATGGACAGAGGAGCCTGGTGGGCTACAGTCCATGGGGTCAGGAAGAGCCGGACACGCCTGAGCGACTCCACCACCAGTTTGGCTCTAAATCATTCAGAGCTCAGAGCTCCCACTGTTTTCCCATATGAGGAGAATATCCACTCTCTCCTTCTCCCTGCATCTCTGCGTGAAGGAGATCAGGCCAGTGTGCATTGCTCATCTGGGCACTCACTGCCCTGGGCTGCACCACTGCAAAGGGACGGAACACCGAAGGCACATTTCTCCAGACCAGCGCTCCCCCATTTTGGCACCAGGGGCTGGTTTCCTGGGAGACGATCTTTCCCTGGACTGGGGTGCAGGGGATGGGAATGGTTTGGGGAAGATTCAAACACCTTACAGCTATTGTGCACTTTATTTCTACTGTCACATCAGCTCTACCTCAGATCACCGGGCCTTCGATCCTGGAGTTTAAGGACTCCTGCTCTAGACTATTGGGAGCGTGCTGGGCTAGAAGAGACAGGCTCTCAAAGGGAAACGAGAATTTAAAACAACAAGTGTCTTGCTTCTGATGCTTTGTAGTAGCTGTCACACACATAAACTTTCCTCCCACCCGGCAGTCATCATGCAACAAGCCGCCCAAATGCTCATGTGTTTTGTTCATTGCTACTTGGACTTGGGTCAGAGTCACCCTCATGGGAAGGACATTCAGATATTTACCGAACGGGCAAGATTTGAAGGGTCTCATAAAGACTTTCATTCCTAAATTTTTTTTCCCCCTGATAAAAAAGAAAATTCACCCAGCTAAAATGAAAATGTGAAAAAAAAAAACAAACAGAAAAAGAAAATGTGAGCTAAGATGGATGGGTGTGGGCGTGTAAATTAAGAGGGCCAGGTAAATGCTTTTGTATTGGTCAATAGCACCTTATCTGATTTTATTTGCCAGAAGCAGTTTAGCTGTTCTTCAGGCCCTAGAAGGGGTATTTGGGAGCAGAGGGAGACATTCACTGGGTATAATCCTTGGGCTTCCCTTGTGACTCAGCTGGTAAAGAATCTGTCTGCAATGCAGGAGACCCGGTTTCGATCCCTCGGTTGGGAAGGTCCCCTGGAGAAGTGAATGTCTACCTGCTCCAGTATTCTGGCCTGGAGAATCCCATGCACTGTTCAGTCCATGGGGTCACAAACAGTCTGACACGACTGAGCGACTTTCACTTCACAAACCTTGGGGCAAAACTAAATGTCTTCCAGCAAGTCAGGGACAATTTGTTAAAGACCACTTTATACTCCGCCAATGTATTTACATTCAGATAGCTTGTTTAACTGTTGCTAAAATGTTCAGCAGGTAGGAAGTTAGCTATTACTACCTTCATCTTGGGGCTGGGACACAGAAAGTGTAATTAACTTGACTCACTATCTTTCAGGGATTTACAGCATTTAGATCTCCTTGTAGATAGCAATGATGACATACATCTTGGCTTGATTCTTGTCCCAAAACCATGAACCATCTGTGATCCTATCACTGAAAACAGTCAAGGAACCCAGGACAAACCAGTGAATGACTTTTCCCAGGTCATAGACCTTTTATATGCAGAGGCATGACCTTAATGACATTTAAAACTAGAGGAAAAGATAAAAAGAATTTCACCCAAAATTTCTAGCTAGTTCTTTGAATCTACAAGGTGTCTGTGGTTGGGCTACTCTAAAAATACTACTGATGTGAATAAAACTTACATGAGTGAGACTTGGCTGTGCCTATAAGCAGTTCATGTGTCCACAGACTCAAAGCTGTGGTTACAGGCAGCACAGGGGCCAACCTCTGGTTCCTCAAAACACAGTCATACCGACTGGTCCGCAAAATTGGCAGTAAAGTCTGGTAGGGTTAAGAGCTATTTAGAAGACTGTAATAAGAACTCTATAACCAAGCTGTCTTTTGATAGATCTAACTCACTCAGTAGCACATGCCCAGGAAAATATTTTAAAGAAAAAAACGCTATTTGTGTGAAGGTATTTCTAGTGATTGCATTCATTTGAATTTAAAAAAAACTCAGTAATTGGAAACTGGATAAGTATATTTTTATATATTATGATTGCTATCATAGATGGTTATATAGCCATTAAATAGTATTGATATATGTAAAACCATATGGAAAAATGTTTAAATGAGACTCAAAGTGTTAACACACCAATTATTGTGTTTACTGATTGAACTTATGTAAAAATTTCTTTACATTAGAAAGTATCAGAAGAAAGAGAGAAAGTGAAGTCGCTCAGTCGTATCCGACTCTTTGTGACCCCATGGACTGTAGCCTATTAGTGTCCTTTGTCCATGGGATTCTCCAGGCAAGAATACTTGAGTGGGTTGCCATTTCCTTCTCCAGGGGATCTTCCTGATCCAGGGATTGAACCTGGGACTTCCGCATTGTAGGCAGATGCTTTACCGTCTGAGCCACCAGAAAACACTGTAATTAATTAGAGTTTAGGAGGTTCTTTTTTTTTTCTATAAAATACTGATGTGAAATAAAAAATAAAAGATTAATTGGTAAAATGAAAAAACCAAAAACTTGAGTCTGGAGTCAAGAAGGCCTTGCCAGCTGTGTAACTATGACAGCCTTATCTCTGTGCATTTCAGGTGCATCTTCAAAGTACAAATAATTAGCATCTACCCTATAGAATTGTTGTAAAGGGTAAATGAAGGAATGATTTATACAGGGCCTGGTGTTGTCATAACAGGCTAGGAATTATAATTGATTGATCAAAACTGCACTAGTGGCCCTGTGTGAGTTTAATCAGACAGCATGAGTTATTCTGATGTAATATCGTATAAGAACCCAATGATCAGTTTTTCTGCTTTCATTTCTTTCTGTACAATAATATGTCTTCCCGCATCTGATTATCTGCACAGGACAAGGTATAAGCACGTTGGTGTGGCATTGTTATCACTCCAAGTTGAACCAGTATCACCCAGTCTCATGAAGAAATCCAGTGACCATAAAAATATTCCTAACTCTGTGAGAAATTGCCAGGGTTCCTTTACCTTCCTGGGTTTTAACTACTGTAATTGATGACTAAGACTGTATATATATATTTTTCTCTCATTTCATGTTCTCCAAGAAGGAGGGTCTCTCACGGCTCTTGAATCTTGTGCATACTATTGCACACATAGCAACTAGTACCAGAATGTAGGAGGCAATGTAGGAATGAACTCATGAATGAATAAATCAATGATTTCTTACTTTTATGTGCTAGGAAAGAGAGAGAATATATATCATAGTCTGGGAGATTTTGAGGTTCCGGTAAAGACTAGTTCAATGCAGGGTCTTATTTTGATCCTTTATAAGAAACAAAAATTAGTAGGGAACTTCTCTAGACCATCCCGAATCTTGGAGCCAGAGCCAAAAGAATTTCCACTTGAGAGTTTAGGACCACACAGATTCGTGTTACATAATGGGATCTTAAGGAGTTGACCTGTCTACCAGAGAAAAGATCATTACCATTCTTTTGACTAGATGCATAACCTCTCGGTTCTTTTCATTTTGAAGTTATCGGATACTTTTCTACCCTGAAACCAAACAGGAAATTGCTCAGTTGATTCCCTTCGTCTGTCTTCACATGCACTGAATTGGGAGAACAAGGTCCCGTGATGAATGGCAAGTCTATAAGTCTGATTATCTGGATAGAAAGTCAAAACAAAACAGAACAAAAGAAAGTCAAAACTTTCTGTGGTGCTCCCAGCCTTCCATATTTTTCAGATGTTATAAAAACCAAAGACAGATCATCTTTATTATCCTAAGGAATAATTAGGATCATTTCATTGTTATGAGGAACTCTAAATGGTATCATCTGTATCTTTACTATTGTCTGTATCATCATAGTTGGATCTTAAACACAGAGGTGAAGAATCTGACACCCTAAAAGGCAACTAAAAGAGATGCTGGGTTTGGCTGAGAACTTACCTTCCCATAGAAGAATAAACCTGTCTTCTAAGCCAAGTATAATGCTAAAGATTTCCCACTGTCCCTAATCCTTACAGCTCCTGCAGGGATCTCTGACACTAATCTCGTGGGGATCCCTAGATCCCTGCCCAGAAACAAGTGCCAGGTTATGGTCTACGCCTTGTCACTGCTACTCCTTCTCAGAGATCAGACTTGCCTGCAGGGATTTCTGTTAAGTCAAAGCTCTTCTTCAGCAGTTTGGCATCTTGTTCTGTTTTATTTAGAGTAAGGCATTCCCCTTTCAGAGCTTGGACACCAGAAGTATTGAACAACCAACAACTAAATTTACATCTTCAACAGTGGTTGGTAGCCCTTAGCAATTTCAAAGCAGGAAAAGCCAAAAGCCTCTATCATTTGCTGTTAGTACCTTTTAGAGTCGACCTGACACTTTTCACTGGTACTTTGCCTTGATGATGTCACTCTCTCCATTGTTTTAAAAACAGTTCCTAAGCACGCCTGAAAGGGCTTCTCCCAGGAGGTGCTAATGGTAAAGAATCCGCCTTCCAAGGCAGGGAAGCAAGTTTCCATCCTCGGGTCAGGAAGATCCTCTGGAGGAGGAAATGACAACCTACTCCAGGATTCTTGCCTGAAAACCCCATGGACAAGAGGAGCCGGGCGGGCTAGAGTCTGCGGGATTGCAAAGAGTCGGATGCGCTGAGCACAGGGCACAGGTACACCCGAAACTAACGCCGCGTTGTAAATCACCTGTATGCCAATAGAATTTGTTTTGAAAAATGAAACAGCTTTGAAAAATAGTTCCTAGGGTGTTATGTGGATGTTATACTCTATGACAGTGTTGTTAAACCAGAAGGCAACAGCTAGAATAATCTCTCTTCTAAAGATCACCTAGTGCTATTTTTATATAAAGAAAATTAATATTAAGTATTACAATATCTAGTTACCTAAAGGGTTGAGAGATTGGATCAAACATATGATTATTTTGATGCAAGTCCCTTGAAATTTTATGTGATGAAGGCAAAATTTTGGGCTAACAGAATACCTCTTTATTTTTCAGATATTCTGAAGTTTTGTAGACACAGTAAAATACTCATTAAAAAAATAATGTAAAATATACATATATCACAATATGTAATTTTTTCCAGGTGCTTTTGCATTACTCTTTTATTCTAAAAGTGGGCAGAGCGCACCCTTTGAAAGAATAACATAGCCCAAGGATACAACATAAACCAATTAAAACCAAATGGGGTAAAGGTGGTGGACAAATTGACTTCCCTTAGAGCTTGAGTCTCAGCATATGATCATTGTTAACATGTCAGCAAGCTAAGTGACATACTTACAGGCACCATGACGCTTCCAAAGCCAACTATTAAAGACCAAAAAGTGGGTGATGTTCCAATTTCTGGAAATTCCTGCCCCTTCCCACAAATAGTTGGAATAATCCTCCAACTTATTAGCCTATGAAATTACCCAGTTCATAAAAACTAACCACACCATATTTCAAGGTCACTCTTACCTTCTGAGGTGGCCCGTACTTTGTCTATGGAACATGTTTCTCTCTAAATAAACCCACTTCTTCCCTGGTGGATCAGACGGTTAAGTGTCTGCCAACAATGTGGGAGACCCAGGTTCAATCCCTGGGTGGGGGAGATCTCTTGGAGAGAAGGAAATGGCAACCCACTCCAGTACCCTTGCCTGGAAAGTCCCATGGACAGAGGAGCCTGGTAGGCTACAGTCCATGGGGTCACAAAGAGTTGGACATGACTTCACTTTCACTTTTCTTAACTAAAAGCAAAAAACAACCCCCCCTCATTTAAAAGTAATGTAAAGTGTATGTAAAATATACATATATTACAATAGGTAATGTTTTCCAGATACTTTTGCATTACTCTTTTATTATAACACTATTTTGTGAGCTTGAGATATTATTTGTGTCTTACAGATGAATTAATAGACACTCACCCAGGCTAAGTCAGATACAGTGCTTGAGACAGGACTGAAATCCAGATTTCATACCTTGAAGTCCTTTTCCTTTTCTTTTTTGCACAGCACATTGCTTGGTACTGAATCTTACAAAAGTCTTAAGAGCAACAGGTTAACACAGAAAAGCCTCATCTTCCAAGCCTCAGTGGTACAACCCCAGGGGGAGGTTTCTTTTATTATATTGGGCTTCCCTGTGGCTCAGCTGGTAAAGAATCCACCTGCAATGTGGGAGACCTGGGTTCGATCCCTGGGTTGGGAAGATCCCCTGGAGAAGGGAAAGTCTCCCCACTCCAGTGTTCTGGCCTGGAGAATCAGGCCAGACAAGAGTCAGACAAGACTCAGCGACTTTCACTCTTTGTTTTCCAGTGAAACGACCTGTTGTCGTAGATGGCAGGGTGAACCTTTGTTGGTTTTTTCCTCTCCCCCGTCTTCCTGCGGCTTGGCCTCAGACTTGGGTGCTGTCAAGGGAAACTCCCTTCAGCACAGGGTAAACAAAGCCTTCTCAGCCTTCTGACCTAACAGGAGAATCTTGGGAACTGGAAAGTACCAGGAAGATTTTGGAGAGGGAGGATCTTGGGGAAATGACCAGATAGGATTGTTTATGAACTCCCGAGCTCACCCCTGAGCCACAGATGAGTGGAAGTGATTCTACACAGCAAGACTTTGGGAACTGAGCTAAGAGATAAATTGCTTTTCAGGTGCCAGACTGGCCACAGGGTGGTGGAACATGTGTGGAATGTATCTGAATATCCATTTTTGCTTTGAAACATCCCTTCTCGCTGAAAACGGAACTGACATTGGAGCCACAACATGAAGGGGTGGTGGAGGTAAGATAATTTCCTGCCCTTTGACTGTAATAACGAGATAAATCACGGCAACCTGGGGTGATAGGAACCATGCCAGAGAAGCAGGATGGGAGGACAGATGGTCGAGATTTGGGGGGAGCTGTGAACGCTGCTGAGGTCCCAGCTGGACCACTTTCTCGGGCAGTGGATCTTAAACTTTACTAAGTATAAGGATCACTTGGAAGGCTTGTTAAGACTCAGGTTGCTGAACTCCGCCTTCTCCAGTTTCTGAGTGAGTAGGTCTGGGCTGGGGCCCGAGAGTTTGCATTTGTCACGGCTTTCGAGGTGATGTGTATGCTTGTGGCCTTGGAAACGCACCTCGAGGGCCACTGCTGTCAAGGAGCATTGCAGCAGGCCCAGCGTGGTCCCAGGTGCGTATTATTAACTGGAGTAAGAGAGACGCCAGATAGAATCCTGTGCGAGTTAACATTCCCAACGAACAGTCAGGTGTTCAGTGTTAAACACATCGGAGAAGGCAATGGCACCCTACTCCAGTACCCTTGCCTGGAAAATCCCATGGACGGAGGAGCCTGGTGGGCTGCAGTCCATGGAGTCACGAAGAGTCGGACGTGACTGAGCGACTTCACTTTCACTTTTGACTTTTATGCATTAGAGAAGGCAATGGCAACCCGCTCCAGTGTTCTTGCCTGGAGAATCCCAGGGACGGGGTCGCACACAGTCAGACACGACTGAAGTGACTTAGCAGCAGTTAAACACACACACAGACACACACAGAGTTTAGGCCCTAACCCAAGCTCAAGAGGCTTCCCTGGTGGTCCAGTGATCAAGCATCCACCTGCCAGGGCAGGGGGCGTGAATTCGATCTCTGGTCTGGGAACTAAGACCCCACATGCTGTGGAGCAACTAACCCCGGGCCCCACAATGCCTAAGCCCACGTGCCTGGAGCTCTGGGCAATGGAGAAGCCACCGCAGTGAGAAGCCCGTACCGCAGCTAGAGAGTAGACCCCACTCTCCGCAACTAGAGAAAGCCCGTGGGTGGCAACAAAGACCCAGTGCAGCCAACAATGAATCGATAAATAAACAAATAAGAAATAATACATGTATGTAAAAAACTCCCCAAAACAAAAATAAATAAGAAATAATGCATATATGTAAAAACCCCCAAAAAACAAAAATAAACAAATAAGAAATAGTACATATATGTAAAAAAACCCCAGAACAAAAATAAACAAAAAAGAAATAATACATATATGTAAAAAGAGCCCCCAAACAAACAAAAAAAAGAAATAATACATATATGTAAAAAACCTCCCAGAACAAAAATAAACAAATAAGAAATATACATATATGTAAAAAAAGCCCCAAAACAAAAATAAATAAGAAATAATACATATATGTAAAAAAAACCAAAATAAATAAATAAGAAATAATACATGTATGTAAAAAAAGAACAAAACAAAAAATAAATAAGGAATAATACATATATGTAAAAAAGCAAAAATAAATAAGCAAATAACACAAATATGTAAAAAAAAAAACCAAAAAACAAAAATAAATAAAAAAGAAATAATACATATATGTAAAAGAAAGAAAAAACAAAAATGAATAAGCAAATAAGGAATAGTACATATATGTGAAAAAACCAAAAAGCAACAATAAATGAATAAACACATAAGCAATGATGCATATGTGTAAAAGCGGCCCTGACGCTGCCCCCAGGAGCAGCCCCTTCCTTCTGCTCCCCCTCCTCCCCACACTCACTCCTCACTCTCCCCTTCCCTCCTCTGGGAGCCGTCGCATCGAGTGTGGGAAGGACGTCTGAGCCTCCGGACTCAGGAACAGCTCCTTCCGTCTCCCCCTCTTCTCCTTCCCTCCCCTCCTCCGTTTCCCAGCTCTCCACTCTACTTCCGCCTTATTTTAGATGCACTTACAAGGCATAGTTAGAATTTCCATGAGAACAATTCCATTCTCAGCACAGTGGTGACTCAGCGGAGGTCACGGAGACTTTCTTCAAATAATTATTAAATTGCGGCAACATTGGACACCTGGTTCCATCGCCTGTAGATACTCATAATGCCTTTCGGCTCACCTCTCAGCCATACATTGGTGGATTTTCCAGGTGAAGAATGGATCTAGGTGGGGTTCACTGATTCAGTTCCAGTTTTTGTAAACTGAACGTACAACATATATCCATTAAGCTAGATTAGTCTCTAGAAAATCAAACGGAAGAGCACTTTTATTTGCAGTGAAGCCCACCCACCTAACATTGGGTGCCGCCACTACACAAGCAGGCCTCTGTACTTTTTTGTTCTTGGGATTTGGGAAGAAAGAGACAGAACTTGAGAAAGATAACAGATGAGCTAGTTTCAGCAAGTTCCATGAGAAACAGGAAAGAATCCTTTTGAATGTCAAGAAATAATTACATTTACAATCTTTCTGACATCAGGCCAAAAAGAATGAGTTTGTTCTAATCCTTTTTCATAATTTTCCTTTTTAGAAACATATCCATAAATAAATCTTTCTCAACCTGCCCATATATACAGCATATCTGAACTTAATGATTGGAAATAGTGGTGCAGTCTTAGGTACAACAAAAAAGTACATTATTTGTATTATTAAAAAACTGGACACACCTAAGGTATTCAGTTTGGGGAGGATGGTTTGACTCTGTATTAACTGGCTCTTGCTTTGAAGATGCTGTGTAGCAAACCAATCCCAAACCCAGTGACTTACAAGCGTGAATTTACTTATTTACTTTAAAAAATTGTGTGCGGGTGACTGTGGGCCAGCTTGGGTTGCTCTGCTTCAAGCTGCAGGTGGGACAGACTTGTCTTCAGACTGTGTTTCATCTCCTGCACACGTGTTGTTTTTGGTCCAAACTGAAGGGTCATGCTTCCTGGGGCATGGTTTTCTCGTTGTGACACAGGAAGGTAAGGGGATTAGTGAAACAAAGCGTGTCTGAAATCTGTGCTCCATGCTGTGTGCTAACCTTCCCTTGGCCAGAGAGAGTCACATGACCAAGACCAGCGTCCAGGGAGCCTGCAGGCTTACCCCGCCCAGTCCAGGGAGCAGCCAGGTCATGTGGTGGAGGAAGAGCGTGCAGAACTGAGAATGATGGTCTGTGTCTAGGACAAAACTTTACAATCACAGAACAAGATGTGTGTGCATGTGTGTGCACACAAGTGCACGCGCTCAGTTGATAAGTCGTGTCCAACTCTCTGTGACCCCATGGACTGTAGCCTGCCAGGTTCCTTTGTCCATGGAATTTCCCAGGCAAGAGTACGGGAGTGAGGTGCCATTTCTTCCCCCAGGGGTCTTCCCGATCTGGAGATCAAGTCCGCTGTCTCCTGCATTGCAGGTGGATTCTTTCCATTGCACCACCTGATAAGCCCACACGATGAGATATTTTTCTTTAAAAAAAACAAACAAACAAACCAAGAACCCACAACATTTTATTGTGGGTAGCGTCAAAATGCTGAAGCTGAAATTCCAATCTTTTGACCACCTGATGTGAAGAGCTGACTCATTGGAAAAGACCCTGACACTGGGAAAAATTGAAG